GTCTCTGCTGTCACCATCGCATGCACCATGCCATGCAGCAGTTCGACCGGATGAACAGCACCAAAAAAAATCAAAGGCAGACTTTGTTTAGATTGCAAGTTTTTTCACCCTCTCTTCATCACATCAAAGCATTAAAAGTATTAAATGTAGAAAAAAAAACTAATTACACGGTTTGGTGGGAAATTGCGAGACGAATCTTTTTTAAGTCTACTTGATTAAACAATAATTTCAAAACAAAAAAATACTACCGTGTCAAATAAAATTCCTAACTCAGGCCGCGTTTAGTTTCGCTGCCGGATCAGCGCCGCCCAATTGTAGCGTTTTGTTTTTATTTGGTAATAATTGTCTAAACAACTAATTAGAAGCCAAAACGTTCTCTGCTGTCACCATCACATGCACATTTGCCATATGCAGCAGTTCGACCAGATGAACAGCGAAATTTGGGACAACTAAACATGGCCTCAATATAAACGGGCGGCAGTCGGGAATGCGGGATGCATGCAATGGACAGCAAGGTGGCGTGGCGGTCGTCGTCGTCAGAGCCTACGCCTGATGGAGCCTCACTGACTGACTGATTGACAGGGAGGGAGAGAGACAAGGAGATCAGACGGCCGGAGTTGGTGGCCGGACACCGGACACGGACAGACAGACGCGCGCGACGCGGCAATTCTTTTGACCTTATCTTGCAGTGCTGCTAGCTGTTGGGGGTTCAACTTCAACTCAACTGCCCTCCTTAACGTTGCTTCCTGCCGCCATATTTTATTGCAAAAAAGTTGTGAATTGGGCACGCAATGCTCTTCTTCTTCTTCTTCTTCGATTCTTCTTGCTTGGCTTGCATTGCAAAGAAGAGGGATGTCCATGTGCAGATGCATGATTATAATGTGAATGTGAACCAAACCAACAGTAGTGCTTCTTAATTAACAATGGATTTAGTATGCCCTTCCGCGTACACGTACATCCATCAGCTGCTACTAGTAGTATATACATATTCTAATCCATCCGTCGTCGGTTGGCTGGGCATAGTTAAATGATGATTGTTTACAGGTAACGTCTCCACGTTAGTTTGGCGACTTGGACGGAGGCGTGTCCGATTATTTAAAGCTAATTAAGATGAAATCACATCCAGAAATTTCTTTTTTAGTAAAACAGAGGCGAAAAGCTGAGATAAGACTGAAATCACATCAGTCTTATTTTTAGTAAGAGGAGGAATAAGACTGAAATCATTGAGATACGGGTTTAAGGCTGACTTTTGATGAAGTTCAATTTTAATCGAGAAGTAATCTATGTTACCATCGCTATGTAAAAACACTATCAAATTAAACATATCTAACTGAAGAATTTAATGAAACTAACTTGATATTATATTATTGCATTTTTTATATAATTGTTCAAAGTTAGTAAAAATTGACTTTGATTTGAATAAAGCTAAATAAATTATATTTAAAACAGAGAGGGTAGATCATATTGACATATTTAATTTCTCAGTGATACAACTATCTTAGGGCAGTCCTAATGGAAGAAACTAATGCGATTTCCATAGCACAAGAAATTATCTATAATCTATAGAAACTATCTTCCACAGTGGAGGTGTCTTTGTGTAATAATTATTTTCTCTTTCTCTCTCCCAACTCTATCTTCTTCCTCCAATGTGAGTGTAGCACGAACCCCTTGGAATATGGCGGTTTCTCTCCAATGACGATTTCATGGTTTCTTGGTGCATTGGGTCAAGAGAAGACCTGATTTCTTCACGAGGAAATCATTTCTAGGATTTTTGCTCTCTTTCTTTATTAAATACGTTACCATGTTAGCATTTTGCCTACGTAGCAAGTCATTTAATGAGGATAGAAACCATCGTCAATACATCATTGGAACTGCTCTTGGCCACCTACTTTTCCCTTTAGATTGCGCACAATGTGAGCGATGCTGAAACAGCTCGTGAAATAATTTTTTATTTGTTTCAGCACCGATGCATCTACATGCCTCAACGTCTGAGTTTTCTTGCTCTAGCATCGGCCCCTGCAGAGTGTTGCATCGATGCTGAACTCTTCTCTCTCTTCATTCAGCGTTCTCTCTCATTTGAGCATCGATATTTGATACACCGTGGGTAGTCTTACTAGAGAAATAAATATACGCTAATAAATAGGGGCTAGCTGATGTGACTCTTCAAGTAATTGAATGCGCTGCACCATCTGCTCCTCTGCATGCGCTGCACGGTCCCCAGCGCGAGAACCCACGAAACCAGCCGAGCTCCACCCCATTAAGGCCGGCAGGCAGAGGCAGGCTCGACTGGATGCCGTTATCCATGCTCGGCGCCAAGATATGTGGTGCGGAGTTCGGCGCTAAAATCTGTGGCGCCGAGGTATCGCCACGCCACCTAGGATTTTCTGCATTGCACGTCCAGGCACCTCGGCGCCAAGATCTGTGGCGCCAAAACGTGTTACCTCGGCGTCAAGACTCATGGCGCCAACCCCCAGGATCAAAGATGAGTTTAAGTCATCCAAGGCCAAACGTAAATTTTCTTCGAAAAAAAGACCAAATAGTAAAAAATACGGTCGGCACTGGCAGGGCGACTTGGCGTAGAAGAATTGGATAAAATCATTCGAGAGCTAGAAACTTACAAAACACCCGAGCGCTATTTAGATTTTCTGTTTTTTTTGTGGCGGAATAATGATGTAAATGATGCTTTACTGTTGGGATGTTAGAGCATCGAAGAGTTCCCAAAATCCTGTGTCTCCAACAATTTCCAAACTCCTAAAGTATATAAAAAAGTTTCCAAAAAATTAACTCCTAAAATGTAAAAAAAAACAAAAAAAATTAGACCACGGGAAGCTTTCCTCGCGGCGCTCGCGCCTGCCCCTGCCATCCTGGCCACCGGCTGGTTCGACGAGAGCGGCGACGGCCGACAACTTCTTCCACGACATGACGGACGCGCTGACGTGACGGAGGTTACGGTGAAGTCGGTCCCTTCCGCGGCGGTGTCGCCCAAGTGCACGAGGCATCACGCCGTGCCAGGCCAGCGGTGGTGTTCTGTGCCGGCTACATGGACAACTTCCACGACATGACGGACGCATGCACCTGAGGGCGGACGCGCTGGATTGGCGAAAATCTTTGTTCCTACTGAGCACGGCGCTAATTATGCACTAATTGTGAGTTTGGTCTCACGGCGAGGTTTTGCATATTTAGCTGCTGGACACCAACTAAACAAAGCCGTGGTGGGTGCAGAAGTACACCGCGCTGCTGCGGAAGCTGTCCCGCCACGGCGACGATGTGATCAACTTCGACGCTGATGACGCCGAGGACGTGCACTGCTTCCCGGCGGCGGCGCGTACTTTACTACCGCACGCCCGCACCATCGCCTTGCTGTTGCTTGCGGACGCTGTGGGCACTGGCACCTCAGGGCCGTCCGGTGATCCGGTCGCGTGAGAGGCACCTGCCTGATCCTGTCGCCGCACCCGACCCACAACCCGCGCACCCTGACGATGGTGGACTTCGGGCTGTTCTTGCATGGCACGCTGGCGCTGCCGCGTTCTCGACCCGCGGCCCCGGATGCTGATCATCTCGCGCGCCGGCATGCGGCGGCTGCTGAACCTAGAGGAGGTGGCGGCGGCGGCTCATTCTATTCGGCGCGAGGGGGAAACATGCCGAAGAAAACCCGGCTCAGCGTTTTCCAAGTCGCTAGTCTGCGCGCATTTATCCGCGCGATCGGGACTTTTTTTTTCCAGGTGCCAAAAGATTGAGAGCTGTTGAAGATGTATTTTTTTCAATCTTTTCAAAAACTCAGGATTGGGAGCTTCTTTTGGAACTCTCGGAGACGGAGATGCTCTTACGTCGGGAGGTGACCCTCTCTCAACTAATTGGATGCCATGTATCTTGTTTGATACAACTTCTCTATTTTTAGTATAAATAGAGAGCCATGGGAGAAGCATGGATACAATTCTATAGAGTAGTGTATCATTTGACTTTTCGTTTTAACTTGTTCTTTACCGCTTACATTCAAATTTAGTTTTCCTTCAATGGTGACTGAATGTGAACTACTCCCTCAATTTTCTAAATTAAGACGGGAGGGGCCAGTTGGTACTGTGTGCAAGTCTCTCAATTGGACTCGTGTTTAGTGAGTACACGGCATACATGCCTAGACGGTGAACTATTCCGTTTCCTTCTATACCATGTTAGCTTATCTTATCAGCCGTACTTTTTTAGCGAAGGAACAATGTTTTTCTCTTACAACAAATCAGCCAACAATACTTTTCAGCCAAACGAACAGTTGTTGATCAACATTAATGGTAGGTATGTATTTGAATATGATGTTGCCTTTTAGAGTGTTTGTTCACCTAAAATCTTTTACAATTTGGTACCAATTTTGGATTCTGGATCTCTATATTTCAGGATAGAGAGTACTACCTATGATACTATGATATGATGCCCTTTCCCCCATGTTATACGGTACTTTACCCCAATATAACATTTCCTCTGTTTATCGAGATTAATTCTCTTGTTCCTGCTGTGATTTCTCACGCCTCCTGTTGTGATCTCACTGTTGGCAACGGAGGTTACAATGTTTGTTAGCTAGTACTATACTATATCAAAATTCAGAGAACAACGACTCAGAAACAGACCAAAAGGACATGCCGCTTATTCTTCCTTTCGAGAACAACACAAATACAAATACAAATACAAATGTCTGGGGACTAGAATTTGCCCTCATTTACAGACTTGAAAAGCTCACAGCCGACAAAACTCGACAGAAAAGACTTCTGTTCTTACAAACCTCACTTTAAAGAGATCCCTTAATCCAATAGAACTCACGTCTCTAATACCACCGGAAGCACGGCGACTAGACCAAAAAAACCCTGTCAACCACTGCTTTAATAACGAACGAAAAAAAGAACACTGATCGTAGGGATAGAGAACAAAGGAACAATTACAACTGACTAAAAAAAACTAAATAAAAAACAAGGTATCTGTACTGCTATAATAAAACCTACTACGGCCGTGGAAACCTAACTGCACAGAAACTCCAGGACCAGCTCTTCCAACAGATCATCTTTTATCATTCTCTCAATGTCCCTTCCTGCCCTGTCGATGCAGTCTACTAAATCTTGCCACTTCGTGTCAAATCCTTTCTTCTCTGGCTTAGTCTCACTGGGTGCAAGTTGTTCCCGTCTCTGAACTAGCACCTGCAAGACTTTCTCCAAGAGACCCTCTGAGCCCCAAAGTGGTGCCAAGTTCCTAGTAGTATTGACCCAAGGTTGCATGTTCAAGCATGGGGCAAGGATTTGTGATAGTATTGTGTTGATCATATCGAATAAAAGCTTCCTGTCTGATCTTGACCACTGAACAACTTTTATGTACTTCTTTTCCAGCTTCTCAAATACATCATCACCAGCAGGGTAGTCGAGAGACTGACACACCCTGTACATTTGATCCTCGGCAGTTCCATGAATTCCAGAAGCGATCAGCATATCCAGCAAGTAAGAGAAGTCCCTTTCCTCATCATCTTCAAATCCTTCAAGAATATCTTCAACCAGCTGTATGGGTTTCTCGTCGCTCAGCTCCACTTCAGAGGATAAACAGTCACTAGTTCCAACAATGCTACTTGCCTCCGCAGCAGTCTCTGTTGGTGCAAATGTGCCAAGCTCAAGTCTCAGTTGGAGATCTAAACGAAGGAGACCACAGAATTAAAACATAAAATAGAAAGTGTAAGAAGTCCAGAATAGCCATAGAGATATGTACCAAGGCATAATCACTAACCATATGGATCTGCAGGCTCTCGCCTGATGTTTTCAGAATCAGAACAATCTTCAGATAGAGGTTGAAGAACAGATATTGGGCTAGCCTGACCTATCTCTTTAGCGTAGATGACAGATGTAGAGTCTAGGCATGCAGCATGAGGGTAGTATCCCTGTCAAAGATAGCATGAGCTCAACCTTCCTATAATGCATGTTGAAGGAAAGCAAACCAAATAAACATGTCCATCTGTTGTACTACAGCAATAACTAAATTACGTTTGGTTAAGTTTGAAAGAAGAAAAGGCTAGATACCATGCTGATAAAAATCTAAAGAATCTTTTTGATTCTACAAAATCAAGAAACCATACAAGCATCTTCAAATTGCAATATCAAGTAAATTAGTAATCATAGATTTTAGTACATACCTTCTTGAAGGTCGTATTCCATTGATCACTAGCTATTACACCCAGAGATGATAAGTTGGAGCTATCACTAGTGTCACTTGAAGACGATGCTTGCAGATCATCAATGCTGTCACTGGAGGAAAAGCATAATATCTTCTCAGATTCACTGTAAGTGGAGCTCCATGTCTGTTCAGGTCCTTTTTGATTGAGTATATCTGAACAGCACAGTTGCTTTTCTCGAATCAATGCATTATTTAACAAAGCCTGTGAATGTCTTTCCAATGAGGAATTAAGGTGTTCATGAACATTATCTTTATTTAGCAGGTCAGTTGCTCCTCTAGGAGTCACGATTTTGTGTCTTTGATTCAAAGCACTGATACAGTTTTGGTTCTGATGATTATCACCATGCCGTGGTTGACGTAGCAAAGACATTTTCTCAGAAAGGGAACAGTTTGTGCTGGTTAAACCCATCTTTGGAGAAGCTGACCTTTTAGCACTTCTGAACAGTTGATAACTGAAATCACTGATCTCACTACAACTCTTTACAGTCAGAGGATTCTTCAAATTGTTGTTGGGATTGCTGAGATAATATTTAGGTCGAATGGGCATTCCTGAAACAGTGTTGCTAGCATGACACAATCCGTTATCATTGGAGGTCTTATCTACTTGAACTCCCCTTGCAGCATCATGTTTGATTTCTGTTCCAAGTCTCTGCATGCTAGGAGGGCATGTAGACGTTCTGTGGGAGCTCTTATGCTTGAATTCCCCAATATTCGAAGAAAGCTGTATCATTTTTTTTTTGTAAGAACGGTGAAATTAAAAAAAAAAACATTTTAGCAGAATAAAGATTTGAGTTGTAGAAGAATTAGCAGGAAAACAATTACAAACTCAAGGACTAATAGAAATATAGATACATCAATAGTGAGGATATGAACAGCTTACATGATCTGTTGATCCACTGTTGCATCTGAAATCTGATAATACTCCATGAACACGCCGTTGCTTGTCCACATGAGCAAACCCTGAGTACAAGTCAGAAGTAGAGCAAGAACGGGTCAACTACAAATCATTAAGACTTTAACTTAAAATTGCACGATTACCACTCAGACATGATGCACTTGCCGCCATAATAATTAAAAACAGACTCGAAAATACACCGTTGCAGTTCTTGTCTCTAAAAGAAAATAGATTAATTCATGAATCACATGGTACGACCAATTAACAATTATTTCAGTCAAACTGTGTTATCCGATTTTATTTTTTTCTCCTGGGATGTTTTGCCCTGTTAGTATTTCTCGGATGTAGACATTAACATGTGTGTGGAAAATAAATGGCAAGAAGCTTCGTCGCACTAACTCTAGCATGATGTTCCCTAATTAACGTTTTCTCGATGATAACAGACAAACAAGTAACCCAACGATGCAAGCAAATTAGGCAACCTCCTCGCTTCCGCACAAAGGACACGCCACCACTGCTGCGAGGAGGGAGGCGCATGGAAGGAAGGAAGCAGTACCCACTACGCTGCGAGGAGGGAGACGGAAGCAATGAAGAAAGTAGCACAGCAAGCGAAATCAACCGGAAACAATAGCGCGCGATTCCCCAGCCGTTTGAAACGAATCACAAACACAGGCAAAAGCCGCAGAGATTCATTTCGGGGAGAGCAAGCCGTTACCTTCGGTAACCCGCGGAGCAGTGGTCGCCGGCGCCGCGACGGTCCGCCTGACAACCCCACCGGCTCCTCCTCTGCCTCCTCCCGTCCGGCAGGACCGCCGCGCCCACCTCCGCCGGCCGCTCACGCTGGTCCCGCTCCAGCCCATCCGCGCCCCAAGTCAACCCGACGAACCCTCCTCGACGCCGCTGCACGGGCTCCGCTCGCGCGGATCGTGATCCCGCGCGGCCTATTTGAGGAGGGAACGCCACGGGGAGATAGGAAGGGCTGGATTCTCGGGGGAGCGTCGCGACGCCTGGGGCGGGACGGAGGAAGGGAGGCCGGCGGGGCGCGTTCGGTGGCGGCGCTCCCGCGGCAGCGGTTGGGTGGCGACCCGCACCCGCCTTTTCAGGCCCCGTGGCCCCCTGCCACAGTGGACTCGCCCCCGTGTAACCGCACGCACTTGCGGACTTGCGCTTGTTGGTGGCCGTATGAAATTTTTTGTCTTTCGTTACGCAGAGCCGGACGGAACCGGAGACCCTCGTCTTGGCTGCTTGCTTGTTAGGGTGATCCGTGGTTGGTTTGACTGGCCAAAGCAGCCGACGCGGCGGTGCTTATTGTGGTGATCCGTGGTCAGGCGGCTAGCTAACTCGTGTCGGCCTGTGGTTAGTGTTAATCTACGTAGCTTTGTAAAACTTTAATCCGATCCTTGTGTGATGTCGTACACGGTTTAGAGAGCGCGGGCGATTTGCAAACGTGGAGAGGGGTAAGGAGTAATCAAATCAAACCAAATGTTGGATCGATGCGGGAAGATTGAAAGCGACCGCCCCGTCCCCATGTGGGGCCTTGGCGTAGCATCGGAGGTCTCCGGGTCGTTGCGGGAGAAGGCAGTAGGAAACCGTCTCAGTCTCACTCTCACGCTGCTGGATCTCCGGCTGTCTCCCGTGAAACGCCGTGATATTCCCGCGCGAAATGATAGAGAGCCGCCCAGCCCGCTCGATCTTTTTCCCTCCCGCCATCCCTCGCCATGATCTCGCAACAGGGGGCGACTGTTACGGCCGACGGATTTTGTGGGTGATGGCGAGAGAATGATTAGTTGGCCGGGTCGACTCGACAGTGGACAGGTCCCGTTCCGCTGGCCGGCAAGCGGCAAGGCGGGCGCCGGCTGTTGCAGGGCAGGGGCAGGCCGTCGATGATTACGCAACGAACTGCTCGTGGATCAGACGCACGAGATGAACGACTCCCGTCGATATAAACAAATCATGAAGCTGTTAACGGAACCAAATTGAGGATCGAGATGAGAGACTAGACTTGGGGAAGGAGTAAGCAGATGAGGTGGGATAGGAAGGACGGATTTGATTTCGTAGTTCAGGTTTGGGTTCATTCATTACATGCCCCTCGACTCAGGCGATCTCTCATCATTGATACACCGGCGATGCCGGGGACTTGTCTCAGCAGCGCAGCTGCTCTAGCACCTGGAGATTAAGCCCATTGCGGCCCAGTAACGCGAACGCTTGGCATCTTGGTGCGGGTGCTCAGCCTGGTACTCGTTGTCGGACGGGCCACAGTGACTGGACCGGCTTCAGTATCTTCAGTAAGGCCTGATGGTGCCGTAACACTCCCCCCTCCTTTGGAACCTGCTTGTCCCCAAGCAGGAGCTCTGGGAAATCGTTGCTTCAAGGATTCCAAATCTTCCCAGGTGGCCAGAGACTGAGCAAGACCCGACCACTTGATCAATCCCTGCAAAACAACAGCGGAGTCTTTGGAAAGTACCCGGCGTTGGAGGACTTGTTCAGGTATCTGATGACCCTCCAATGCAGTTGGTAGTTCAGCAGCTTGATACTTGACAGGAAGGGCTTGCTTGAGCTGCGAAACATGAAAGATAGGGTGTATGTATGACGAAGATGGGAGGCTGAGTTTATATGCGACTGTACCCACTTGAGCTTCAATCTGGAAAGGCCCAAAGAATTTGAAAGCCAGCTTTTGATTCGCCCGAGGTGCAAGAGATGACTGCGGGTGCAATAGGGTTGTAGCTTGAGATATACCCAATCACCAACGTTGAACACACGCTCTGATCGTTTCTTGTCAGCTTGGTTTTTCATACGGCGTTGAGCACGAGCCAAGTGCTGCTTGATCAGAGTTTGCATCACCTGTTTATCTTCGAGCCAATCAGAAAGTTCCACAGAAGGGCAGGCATCAAGAGAAGCAATCCCGAAGTGGCGTGGAGCATACCCATACAAGGCTTCAAAAGGAGAGAGATCCAGTGCCGAGTGCCAACTGGAGTTGTACCAAAATTCGGCCAAGTGGATCCGGTCAAACCACTTGCTCGGAACTGCATTCACGAAACAGCGAAGAAATGTTTCCATACATTGGTTTACACGTTCTGTTTGGCCGTCAGTCTGCGGATGATAGGCAGAGCTCATCTTTAACAGACATCAACAAGTTTGAAGAGTTCTTGCCATAGATTGCTGAGGAAGATTTTGTCCCTATCTGACACAATGGAAGTGGGAAGCCCATGAAGGCGATAGACTTGCTGCATGAATATTTTAGCCACACTGAACACTGTAAAGGGGTGTTTGAGGGCAATGAAGTGACTGTATTTGGAAAATCTGTCAACAACAACCATAATGCAATTATAGCCATGTGAGACCGGCAGCCCTTCGACAAAATCCATGGAAATTGAGTGCCAAGCAGATGAGGGTACTGCAAGAGGTTGGAGGAGCCCAAGGTAACGTGCGCGCGGATAGGTAGCGCACGTCATCGGATTTTGAAATTTGGAATTCGAAATCGTGCAGGTGGAGCACGAGAATTTTCTCGCGCCTTCGAGGGATCATGACATGTCATTATATATCTTATCACTTGATTGATTTAATGGCTAGTTTAGTGGACGAAGACAGTGTGCTTACGCAATAAGTGGGGTATTGGGCTATTGGCTAATGACGCAGCTACTCTCGCGCGCCGCGAGTTTGAACGGGTTTTGCCTTGAACCAGTGGTCTTCGTTGACCCTATTTTACATGCAGCCACTTGACGACCACGAGCCAGGTAAAAAAATCGTTTTATTTTAATTCTAGGGATATTACCTAATTTTTTTTTAGATTACACAACAAACGCTCACAACGCACGCGCAGTCATCCCTACGAACACACACACGAAAACTCTGCACATATAAATAACTCAAAGTTTGTCAGAGAAACGTCGTCTACCACTAAAAACATATCATTGCTAAATCCTTAGAATATTAATTTGAAGTCATTATAAGAAACATCACTGTTAAAAAAAGGTTTTAGACAGCTCATTTTTATTAGAGAGGCGGTTCTTACAAAACTACCATATCTAAAGTTTGACAAGACCTCAGAAGTAATACCAATCTTTATAAATATATTTCTAGACACATAACAATAAGAGACATCTACAAATAGACCAGTTCCAAAGACGAATGTCTTTATTCCTTTTGTCCATAAAAATATGGTTAGCCCAAGTACAGCCAAAATCCTAGCATCACCTCTCCCTCCCTATCACTAGCCGCAACATCCCACTTTCCCCTTCTCTCTCATCACTCATTCTATCTCACCAGACATATAGCACTCATTTCCTCTCCCTCCAGTCTCCCCGTAGCTCTACACCGGATCCCTTCCCTATTCAAAGAAGCTCAACAGCTGGCCGATTCTATTCTGTGCAGTCGGAGCACGCCCCCTAGAGAAGGAATTGGCCCATGACACTCCCGATCGTAACCTGCTCAATGCAGCTATGTGTCGGGACCGGTTTTGGCTTATGTAAAAAATGTATGAAAACACGTGTACAACATGGAGTGGAACTGGATGGCCCTAAATCAGGAATGCAAATTGCGGGTATATGTGAATTTCATATCTTATGGATGAGGGTATGATTATAAAATCATGGCCATGAGTCTACTAGGGTTGGTGTTTGCAGCAATGTGGCAAGGTGCGGATATAAATTTTTACCATGCCTATGTATCGACCACTTGAAATGTAGTGAGACTACGAGAGTGGTTGTGTGAATAATAATGCACTTTTCTTGTGTCCTTGTGTGTGTGTGTTTTCAACGGTGATATACTTGAGTCCTTGTTTTATACCAATCGTGTGGACCGTGAAGATACTATGATCACTGAACTACAATTAATCAATTCATGTCATGTACATGTTCATAAGTTCATGTCTTACGCATGAGCTATGATATGTGAAATTTGTGAGATTTTGCTCTACTTTTGTCATTTCCTATTGCTTATATTTAGATGGAAAAGTAGGTGTCAAATTGTTACTCCATGTGGTTGTAATGACATGTTATTTGTTCAATCATAGATAGACCAGTGCGGTTATTGAAAACATCGGGTGTAGCCACATGTATAAATTCTTACCCACTAGGCTTCACAAGTGCTGGTAAGATTTGATTTTTCTTTTTTGAGTGGAAGATAGGGATTTTATTGCTCAATTGAAATGTTTACATTCAGGAATATAGGAGGAGAGCCAAGCCGCACATGACGGCCAGCTCCAAGAGAACATGCATATTTAGCTAGACGATCAGCCTCCCTATTGCATTCCCTACCTTCACGTGCAAAACGCACATAATCAAAGGATTTATGGTTAATTCGCAATGATTATGTTTTCAATAACAAAGTTGTCTGGAATCCTAATATTTTCATGCAGAAATGGAGTATTCTTCTGAAGGAGAAAGAAAGAGGCTGGATTTCGAAGACGGTGGAAATACTTTCAAGACTTTTGATGCAAAACACCCCAGATTAGCGGTGTAGGAAGCTTACTGATTTTCCTTTTGTACGAAGGTGTCTTTCGTTTTGCTGTTTGGAACTTTAAAGATGTTTCTGTTAAACTCCCTCTGTGGTTGAGGAGTGTGCTTCGGGCACTATAAAGTGGGATCAATCGGTCTTTGGTCTAAAAATAATAATCAAAGGATTTTGCCCTTTCATGAATATCCTTGAGGACGAGGTAAGATTTGATGTGTCGAGTATTCTTACGGGTGGGTATTCGCTCGACCTACATCGTACCCGGCCCATTGCCAATGCATGGGCTTGATTTCCCATAAATTAGCCCAACTCAACTACCGAACAGCAACTGTACCTAAAGCTGAACTCAAGTACCACACGGCCACTGTACCTAACAAGTAACTGGGTCATCATGGGCCGAAGCACGACCCAACAGTACGCCCAGAGGACACCTGTAATTTTCCCCCAAAAAAGTCCAAAGGCCGAATCAAACCAATTCCACCACCCCACGCGAGCTCGTCCATCCCCTTCCTCCGATCGAGACAGGGCCAGGCAACCTGGTGCTCCGCCCCGTCTCCGTTACCGCGACGCCTCGGCCTCCCGCTCCACCGCCTGCCTGCCTCCGCGGCCCTGTGATCGTGAGGCGACACGACGCCGAGAGGTCACCAGCCCCCCGCCCCGAGGCCGCCCCGCTTGGTTCGGCTCGCCATTCCGCCCCGTGTTAGTGTCGGTTTGCGTTCCCGATCTGATCTGGTTCCGTGGTGGTGCTAGGGATTGGGAGGTAAAGCGTGATGGCAGCACCGCCGGCGAGGGCTCGAGCCGACTACGACTACCTCATCAAACTCCTCCTCATCGGAGACAGCGGTGAGTTCATTGGTCCTCTCAGCCTCTCTATCTCCTCTCTCTCTCGATCGAGATCATCCTTTCGTATTTTGCGTAATTTGGAGTCTCAATTTGGATCTGGTTCCTAATTCGATCTCTGTTGATGTTACTGCAAAATGTGAATGGGTGAATGAATCTAAAGTATCTAACCACTTGAGGGCACTTGGTTTGTCGATTGTGTAACTGTAACATACTTTTTGGAGTGATCGTGTTCCTACTTGCGCTGCGCAATATACACTTAATATTGTTACACTTTGAAAATAGGTGCATAGATTTAATTGTCTGTGTAGTTAGATTGGTTACCTGTATCCAGAATTCAGGAACAATCTCTTGGCTTTTCAGGATGTTCATTCCGCAAGCACTGTCGAGCATAGATCTTTGCGAGTTTGCATCTCCCTGACTTTCTCTGCTTGTTACATTTGTTGGTCAGTGGGTGCATCTCTCTACTGTTTAGGTTGGGTGGCTTTGGTAGACTGATAGTTCAGGTTATTATTATTTATATTTGTCAAATTATTAGATGCAATCGAATAAGCACACCAAGATAGGGCATCGAGTTAATCAAGCAATCCATACCAAGGGCTCTGTTTGCTTGAGATTAAGGAGTTGTTGGGCTGCAGATGCATGTCATGTCACTAAATACTTGCAAAATATCTTTCTATTGGTTGTGCTCCTACTTGCACTGCGCAATATACACTTAATATTGTTACACTTCGAAAATAGGTGTGGAGATTTAATTGTTGGTGTAGGTATATTGATCACTATGCATCCAGAATTCAGGAATAATCTCTTGGGCTTTTGGAGACTTTCATTCCTCAAGCACTGTCAAAGCTTCTTATTCTCAGCAATTGGACACGCCACTAGTGTGTGCAAGTGGAACATAAATCTTTGAAATTCACTGACTTCCTCTGCTTGTTACGTTTGGTGATCAGTGGGCATATCTCTATGGTTCAGCCTGGGTGGCTTTGATAGTTGACATTATTTTTGATCTGATGTTAAATTGACAATGTAACTGCTGCAACATAATAAGCATATCAAGATAGGGCATCGAGTTATTCCAGCAATCCATATCAAAGCGCTTGAGAGTCAAGATTAGGGAGTTGTTGGGCTTCACATGCGTAGCCTCAGTCACTAAATACTTACAAATATATAAACTTGAAATACCTCAAGTTGGAAGTTGAAATTAACTAATTGTACAGCATAAAAGTTAATCAGAAGTTTTTTCCTTAATAGAAAAAGATGAATTAAAGGCTTGGCACTATTTGGCCTTGTTTTGCATTTCCAATATATGAGTATGTTGATGTTCTCCTTGCCAGAGAAAATGTCTCCCCATTGGCAGAAGTCTACAAGTAGGGGCACATATAATTTTCCTCTGACCAGTATTTTTTTTGTGGTGCTGTATGCTCTTAATTTAAACTGAGACACGAAGCTATATGTAGCTTTGCTTGTCACTAATCTTGCTCTATGTACCTACCAAAACCCCAATCTCGTATCGGCATTGTTTCTTCAGCTGCCAAAATTAGAGTCATTGAGTATTTCCAACCGATGTATTTGGGAAGTATACCCGGCTGATATTTCAATCACAATTTTTTTGTACTTATGTAGGTGTTGGAAAAAGTTGTCTCCTGTTAAGGTTTTCAGATGGATCATTCACCACTAGCTTCATTACCACTATTGGGTATGCAGAGGAATTATTATGTATTGAGGAATTATTAAGTTACATGCAAAAGTTTGTATGGACTTATTAATACCCATTGGATTTTGAAAACAGTATAGACTTCAAGATAAGGACTGTCGAGTTGGATGGCAAACGGATTAAGTTGCAGATCTGGGATACTGCAGGCCAAGAACGTTTCCGCACTATTACAACTGGTATGCTTGTTTTCCTTTTAGCAAATATGGTTCGTTTCCAAACACTGTATGGCTGAAGTTTGTGTTTTTTTTATAACAATGAAGTTTGTGATTGTGCAATTCTTCTTTGCAGCCTACTACAGGGGAGCAATGGGCATTTTACTTGTGTACGATGTCACAGACGAGTCATCTTTCAATAGTACTGACCCTTGTACTTAAATGTTTTTTCATAAATCAGTTCAGATTCGATTTCTGAATTCTAATACTGTCATTGGTGCTGACTTGCAGACATAAGAAATTGGATCAGAAACATTGAGCAACACGCTTCGGATAATGTGAACAAAGTTCTGGTGGGGAATAAAGCTGATATGGATGAAAGTAAACGGGTACACAATTTATCTATTTTGTACTCTTATTTGATCTCTTAAACTTTATACTTATAATAACGTTTATTTCTTACATGCTCATTTTTCTTTCGTAAAGGCTGTGCCCACTTCAAAGGGGCAAGCTCTCGCTGACGAATATGGGATAAAGTTCTTTGAAACGGTTAGTGAAAATGACAACTTCTGCCTATGGCATTCCTTTCTTGTACTATAAATGATGCATAATTTGTTTTTTATTATTTGCTGCAGAGTGCAAAGACAAACCTGAATGTCGAGCAGGTTTTCTTTTCGATAGCAAGGGATATCAAACAGAGACTTTCAGAGACTGATTCCAAGCCTGAGGTGCAACCCTTTTCATAGCTTTGAGCCTTTGACATGTCTGCTTTCTCTTCCACAGTTCCTTGGCTTGCGTGTTTGCAGGATCGAACTATCAAGATCAAGGCTGAAGGGGAATCTGATGCAGCAACGGCACAGAAATCAGCTTGCTGCGGCTCCTGAACAGTTGTCACGGCAAGATAGTGGCATTTTCGCGCATGTAATTTTCATCATTTTATTCTTTGGCAGCTACTATCTCCTTGTGCTTCTTGAGTTATTGCAATTGTTGTGATTTGGACAAATGGGTGTTAAGTCAGAACAATTACTTGCTATATTGTGGAAACTCTGCTCTTGATAACCACGAGCGTGGATACAACTGGGTGGTTGGTTTGATCTCGTGGACGCTACAACTCCATATATTCTGTTTCAGTTATATGGTTCTCTCTATCCACAAAAGATGCAACTCCAGATATTCTGTTTTGGTCAAACGATTTGAAGTTTGATCGAACTTATATAAAGAAGTGCTAACATTTACTATTGATTAATTATGCAATATATTTTTCATAATAAATTTAGTTGGAGAGTAAAGTTTATTTATATATTTACTATAGATTTGGTCATCTAGTTTGACTTGAACAAATTCCATAGTTACATTGTTCAGTGGATGAAAGGAGTGCTGTGTTTTTTTTAATAAAAAAATACAGCTATGGCGTGTAAGGATGGCAATTTTACCTGTGGGCGTGAATACCCTTTGGTTTTGTACTCGATAGGCATGGGCAGGAAATTCCACCCGTGGGCAAGGTTGGGTCGGGTACCCGCAATTGTGTGGGTAGGGCACGGGTAAGCAACTTCGCCCGCGGGTAACCCGTGGATATCCGAGACTCCGGTATATGAGCAAAGTAGCCCACATAGCTATGTCTTTTGGCCAATAGGAAATAGAGTATATAACCTGGGCATTCACTTGACAACCTTATCCTCCTCCCCCTCAGCCACTCCCATCTCCCTAGTTTAGTATGTGTTTTGTTGTATACTAGTCTTTCGGGCGCGCCCATGTGCGCGGTACACTAGCCAAACGTTTTTTTTTTGGGAAAAAAAGATATAATCAAAGTTGAACTATATGTTGATTTGAGAAAAATCCGAGGAGGTTTTCGCAAAAAATGGTGAGAGGGTTTGTGGAGCACGGGTCGATTTTCGGAAAAGGTAAGGGTTTTTTTGCAAAAAACCCGGAGGGCATGGTTTTCGATCATGCGGTTTGATTTCGTGAAAAATCGAGGAGTTTCTTGCAAAATATCTTTGAGAGGGACTCTGGATCATGGGTTGTTTTTCGAAAAGTAGAAGGGTTTTTCGAAAAATGATCGCTGCGGCTGCTCGCCGATCTGGCCGCGTCTGCGTGGCCGATCGAACGACTATATTTGTCAAAAAAGCCGGGCGACGTGGGCCTACCATGGTTGGCTGTATGTAGCCTGGCCACAACGAATCATATCTTTAGATTTGTCATACTCATTGTCTGTGATTGTGCTATACCCGGGTGCGGGTATGGGTAAGAAATTTTACCCGACATCCATTGCGGGTACGGGTAAGAAATAAATTCGCGGGTATGCTCGTGGGCGGGCAATTGCTCTACCCGCATCTTACCCGACCCGCTGCCATCTTTACGTGTGAGTCAGCTGCGTCTTCTCTTGCTCCTTTGCATCTCCTCCTGCCGCCCTCCCTCGCCATCATTGATTCGTCATTCCTAGACCATCACCATTGTCGCCGCTGTTGTTAAACTCAAGCTATCTTCTCCCTCTTGTCCAGCAATTAGCCTCTCTCACTCTTTCGCCGCCGTCTCGACCGTCACTGCCTCTAATTTAATGGTCTCCCTAGAAACCCTTTTTGTGTTTGACAACTATAGAAACCCTTTAAACGCTGAGCTCTAACTTAGGAAGCCCTAAATTGTCACTGTATCTAATTTGATGGACTCTCTAGAAACCCACTTATATGTTCAATAGCCATAGAAACCCCCTAGATGCTGAGCTCTAACCTTGAAGCCCTAAATCACGCCGGTGAGCTCTTTGTCTAGGTGCGTCATCTTGGGATGTGGTGAGTTTTTTTGTCAGTGTGCACATACACGCTGAAGTCTTGTATGTTTTTTTTACGACAAAAGTTACATTACATGGTTGCAGTGTCTTGTACTATGACTTTGTTATTTGACTATAAAAGTTACATTACATAGTTGCTTTTTTACATATTAATCTTTTTTTTCAATCGAGGGAATACGAAGTAAATCAATCATGTCGTAGTCGTAGTCGTAGTCGTACTGTGATTTTGTACAAAAGAACGCCGGAATTGCAAAACCAGAACAAAAAACGAATTGAACACGAAATCACAAAATGCTCCGTCATGGGGCAATGTTGAGGTCCAAGCCCAGCAGACCTCTCGCTTCCTCCGGCTTCGCCTCGGCGTCGTCCAGGTCCAGCCCGTGGGCGCTAGCGGCGCCGCCGCTCTCCTCGCCGTCGGTCACGGCGCGGTGGCGCCTCATGTGGCCTCCCAGCGCCTGCCCAAGCGCAAACTCGACGCCGCACACCGCGCAGCCGTGCGCGCGGGCCTTGGCCGGCTCGGCCTCCCGCGGGCGCTTGTGGCTCGCGCGGTGCCCGCCCAGCGCCTGGAACGACGGGAACCGGCGGCTGCACGTCTTGCACTCGAACACGCGCGGCGACGCCGACGGCTCGCCGCCGCCGCTGCGCGCGAGCAGCAACATGACCCCCTCGGCCACGCTGATGACACCCGGCGGCTCCGGCTCCTGCTGTCCGAACGTGAGCCTCTTCATCGGCAGGAAAATGCTCGTCGATGGGCTGCCGCCTGCTGTGTGATGATGATACGCTACAGTGAGAGAGGTTTGTGTGCTATTTATAGGATGCATGGTTACAAATCAACGAACGAACGGGGATTACTTGTTTGAGCTTGCATGCGCAAAGGGACGTTTGACTTTAGTTCTAGCAGTTGACTTGCGGCATCTTCGTGGCATTAAATATCAAACATGATAGAGTAGACTTGAGATGCATGATCGACACTTGGATTTGTTATTTGACTATAAAATTAAGATTTTTTTTTTCAAATTTAACGGGCGCTGATGTTCAGCTCTTGAACCCACGCGTGGATCGATAGCGATGACTGTGTTTAGTAGTAGGATAATAGTCCTGTTCAGCTCATGTTCTCACGCGCACGGACAATTAGGATAAACTGCCATCACTCTTTGTATCATTCCTTGTCTGATGCTGCTGAGAGGATTAGTAGAATAACGGTGTTAACATATCTAGATGTCGTTATAGTCCCTTGCATAATTGCACTGGCTGGTATTGTACTTAACAGGTACTGAATTTTGTAAGGGGCGACTTTGTTTCCCGAACTCATTCTGAACGAGGTGGCCGTCGCATCTGTCCGGCCTCTGACTCGCAAATTTCCGATTTGACAATCTTATCTGACTTTGAACGGACATAATAATTCATTTGCTTAATTTTTGTTTACGTATATCAAGCGCGGACCTCCAATACCAACGAGCCATGTGGCCTCTGCAGACCTAGGCCCCCTCCCAACTTGAATGAAAAAAAAACAAAAACGAAGCGGAAAGCAGCACGCTAGTGGAGTACTAGTGCACAATGATCCGAACCGGCCAGCCAACAGTATTTTTCTCTCAAAAAAACCACCACCAGCCAGCGCAAACCAGCACCATCACCCACCAGCTAACAGACCCAATAAGCAAAAAGTAATCCATGATTCCTAGCCATTAGACCTACTTTATCCCTTGTTGCTCCTTAACTGGCAGCAATCAAGACATCAGAATTCAGAGCTCCATCATTAGATATGTTGTTATTCTGCCTGCAGCAGGCTGCAGTGCATATCTGAACAACATCGATGTTGAGCAATTGGCTGCCTGCCTGCCTGCCTGAGTGAGTGTCTGGCACAACGCGTCTTCCCCTACTTCTTTAACGAAGACGACTACTAACCCCAACCTTTCTAGTGACGTACGAGTACATCAGATAAACCTTGTTCTCGAACCTAAAGCATCTTTTTTTAGTTTTTTTAATCGTGATGAAGTCAGTCAGGTTCTGATTGGAACAGTCATGGTGCATGCAATTTCGCTCCAAATAAAATATCCTAAATTAGATTAAAAAAACTCTCCTAAATTTCCACTTGATTACTCTGTGCCAGGGCCAGCTCTAGCCAAACTTGGCCTCTCAGATAAAGATGGCAACGGGCCCCCGATACCCGACGGGTATTTGATTTATTAGGGGATGGGGATGGGATCATATCTTTACCCACGGGCATCTAAATGGGCAAGAATTCACCCCGACGGGTATAGCGGGTACGGGAATGTTCCCTGTTTATCCGTCCCCGTTACCCGTTGGGGAACCCGACTATTTGAGTTGTCATGCGAGTATTACGCCCAAAGAAGCTCAACATAGGTATTTTGACCCAAATCTGAACAATCATATATAAAGTTTATGTGTTCTAAGAACCCTAGTTCAATTTTTTCTCACCATCTCCGCCAAAGAAAGACAAGCATCGTCACGCCTCAAAAAAAAGCTTCGTGCCCTCGCTTCCTCAATTCGATCTCTCGCCACCTTGCTCGTCCTCCTCGCAACCTCGCTCCTTCTCCTCGGCATCTCGAGACTCCGACACTTATACCCGTGTGAAGAAAAACGTCTCCTATTGCAAAGCTACGACCCCAAGTGTCCTTGTTTATCGGGTATGCGATGCGGCTTTTATCTCATTCGACCGATGCCCGATCTGAGTACGGGGATGGACAAGAATCTATACCCGAGACAGTTAACGGGGACGGGGACGGAATGAATTCTCCGTAGCGGGGAAGAGAACGTTCCGGCGATACTCGACGGGTACATCCTGTTGCCATCTTTACTCTCAGATAGTACTCTCTACTGGGCCGATCCCTGTTGCCATCTTTACTCTCAGATAGTACTCTCTACTGGGCCGATACATCCATCTGTTTCGGGCCATATTCTGGCCCGGTACCTTATTGAGCTGGCCCAGCTTCGTGGAGAAGCTATGCTACCTCGTTCCGCTCCGCCGCTTTATTCCTCGCCGGAGTGTAGCGGGGCGAAGCGATCTGAACTCCGAAAACCCCAGGCCACAGGGAGAGTAGAGACCGCAGCGGCCTCCCCTCCCTCCGCCCCGCCCCGTTCCGCAGCCATGGCCGCCGCCGGTGTGGTCGCCGAGCCCAAGACCAAGTACGATCGCCAGCTCAGGTAACCCTTCGACGTGCATCTGCGCTCTCCCTCCTAATCGTCTCCGCGTAGTCGATGGGTAGATTCCGAGCGCTTAGCGTCGGTCGATTCTAGGGTTTAGGGGTCCTGCAGCGATGTAATTCTGCTTATTTGATTCGGTTCGAGATCGATCTGGATGTGCCGCGGCGACTAGGGTTTAGGCTCCTTTGGTTTTTGGCTCTCGAGCGCTATGTTGTCAGTCCAACTGTGAAGGCTTGCATTAGAGCTGGGTTTGCTTGCTCCTACATTGGTGGGTACCAATTTATTTATTGTTAGGTTCATCTGTTATGCACAAGGAATTTGCTACAACTTTTTAGGTAGTGTATGGCATTCTGATGGCAAGATGCAATCTAATAGTGATTTACTTTACTGGTTCTGGATAAGCAACTGAATTAGCAGACCTGGGTAATGGGTGCGTCTATTGCCTAAGCTACAACTCCATATAAAGTTACTAATTATCTGTTGCCGCCTTTGTAATTATGCGAGACTGCACTTTGGTCAGTACAAATATCAGAACCTGACTATAATAAACCTTAAATTGTCTATAAGTGTTGTCAATTAACTTATCTTTGCCTAGGTTGGTGATTTCTGGTTGCCATCACAGCCAGTAGCTCTAGTCTGCCCCTGTTTTAATCTGCTTGGTTTGACCCTTAGACTGGTCTTGCGTTGTGGTCTTGTTGTGTTTTGCATGGCACATGGCAGTATGATCAGTGACTCAGCGTTACTTTGAAATTAAGCTATTTGCAGCCAGCAATTCAGCATTACCTACTGGTCTTATTCATTAGTTGTTAAGGCAACAGCAAAATAACCCTAGTTTTCTGTTGCAAATTCTTATGAGCTGGTAGTGGTGTATTGGAATTATTAATCCATGACACAAGCATTGTTTATTAAAACTAATGAAATCCATTCTGCATTTAACCTGTAGTTTGTTAGGTACAAGCTTGTTATTTTTCCAGATTATTCTACTGCCTACTTGATCGGATTGCATGCCCAGATATTGAAAGACACCTGTTACGTGTTAACTGCAAAGCGCAGGATATGGGGTGATCAAGGTCAGGCTGCACTGGAGAAGGCTAGCATATGCTTGCTTAACTGTGGTCCTACTGGAACAGAAGCGTTGAAGAACCTCGTGCTTGGAGGAATAGGAAGTGTGACTGTTGTTGATGGCTCCAAAGTTGAAGCATCTGATCTGGGGAACAATTTTCTGTGTAATTTCTTCGCTTTGTGATTCCACCTGTTCTTCTGAATTCATCCCCACGAAATTGATGGAACTCATATTCTGGGACCTTAAATTTGCATGCAGTGGATGAAGGATGTTTGGGGCAACCAAGAGCTAAATCTATATGTTCTTTCCTACAAGAGCTTAATGACGCTGTTAAAGCCAAGTTTGTTGAGGAGTTTCCAGCTCATTTGATAGACACTAATCCATCGTTCTTTTCCCAGTTTACTGTTGTCATTGCTACTCAGGTGTGTTCTTCAGTCTACTTTTGAGATAAATTGCAAGAGCATGATTAGTCTGCTGGTGCTAGCTAGAACTTTTGGTTTTATGAACACTTATGTTTTATGTGAAACAAAAATGTTTAAGAGATGAAACCAGCAAGAGGAATATTAGTAGATTTCATAGCTCTCAATAACCATACATGTCATCGCTCAATTTATGTTCTAATAAAGTTTATACTTTGTGAAAGAAGTTTATATGAACGAATGATTCTTATTAACACTTTGAATGTCATGTCTCTCACATGTACCAGATAGATTTTAAATTATTGTTACGCCAGAGCAGTGCATTTCGGTGCATTAGGCAAACATTATACTTTGTGTATTAGTTATAACCCAGTTTCCGTAGACATGGTGTTTTGACAGTAATATGGCATTGGACCAAGCCACTCACTGTTCTGTCAAATGCATACACAATAGATAATGCATAGCTGCCCCTCTTGGCATTTGTGACGGCAAAACCTTGCACTAAGGGCTCGTTGGATGAGACCCTGGAGCATTTTTACCGGGATAGGTCAAAGGTTGAAAGGGGGCAAAGCGATGGGCCTTGATGGTATCCCAATCAAGGTGTGGAGATGTCTCGGGGATATAGCTATAGTATGGCTAACCAAGATGTTAAACAATATCTTTCGATCGAACAAGATGCCTGAGGAGTGGAGAAGAAGCATATTGGTACCAATCTACAAGAACAAGGGAGATATCCAAAGTTGTACTAATTATCGAGGAATTAAGTTGATGAGCCACACTATGAAGTTATGGGAGAGAGTCATCGATCAGCGCCTGCGAGGAACGACGCAGATATCAACAAACCAATTTGGTTTCATGCCCGGAAGGTCAACCACAGAAGCAATCTTCTTAATAAGACAGGTTATGGAGCGGTTTAGAGAGCAGAAGAAGGACCTCCACTTGGTTTTCATTGACTTGGAGAAGGCTTATGACAAGATACCAAGAAATGTTATGTGGTGGTCTTTGGACAGACATAAAGTCCCATCAAATTACGTGACCCTCATCAAGGACATGTACAACAATATTGTGACTAGTGTTCGAACAAACGATGGTAACACAGATTACTTCCCAATTAAAATTGGACTTCATCAAGGGTCAGCCTTAAGCCTGTATCTCTTTGCCTTGGTAATGGATGAGGTTATCAGGAACATACAAGGGGATATCCCTTGGTGTGTGTTGTTCGCTGATGATGTAGTGTTAGTGGACGAAAGCCAGGCGGGAGTAAATAGGAAACTAGAGTTATGGCGGCAGACCCTTGAGTCTAAAGGTTTTAGATTGAGCAGAACTAAAACCGAATATATGAGATGCGACTTTGGCGGAGTTGTACAGGAGAAGGGAGATGTGAGTTTGGAAGGTCAAATAGTGCCTAAGAAGGATACCTTTCGGTATCTGGGATCGATGCTACAGAGGGATGGAGATATTGATGCGGACGTTAGCCGTAGAATCAAAGCAGGGTGGATCAAGTGGCGACAAGCTTCTGACATTCTCTATGACAAGAGAGTACCACAAAAGCTAAAAGGCAAGTTCTATAGACTGGCGATTAGACCTGCTATGTTGTATGGAGCAAAATGTTGGCCTACAAAGATTCGACATATTCAACAACTGAGTGTTTTAGAAATGCGCATGTTGCGATGGATTTACGGTCACACAAGAATGGACCTTGTTCGGAACGATGATATACGTGATCGCCTAGAGGTAGCACCAATTGAAGAAAAGCTTGTACAACATCGGTTGAGGTGGTTTGGCCATGTCCAAAGGAGACCTCCAGAGGCACCAGTGCATTGTGGAGTTCTAAGCCAAGCTAATAATATGAGGAGAGGTAGAGGAATACCGAAATTGACATGGGGGAGGCAATAAAAAGAGATTTGAAAGCTTGGAATATACCTAGAAATCTATGTTTGAATAGAAGTACTTGGAAAGCAGCTATTGAAGTGCCTGAACCGTGACTTGGGGCTCTTAGTGGGTTTCAACTCTAGCCTACCCTAACTTGCTTGGGACTGAAAGGCTATGTTGTTGTTGTTGTTGTAGGTCTTAGCCTGTGCTCCGTTTGGATGACCCTGATGCTTCCTGAACCAGGCGAGTGCATGGTCAGCCAGGCAACCAAAATTGAGCTCCTGGATCAATGTTGCCTGGGCTAATGATAGTGATTAGTTGCTAAATGTCAGGAAAGTAATAACAAATAATGATGGAACACAACTTAATCAATATTATTTATTTGAAAAACTAATTAAATATGTTGGGCTTTATTACTATACACATACAAATTAAGTATACGCCTTGTTCGCTTGAACTTATCAGCCTGGCTTATCAGCCATGGTACAGTGTTTTTCTCTCACAACAAATTATTAGACGCAGAAATCAACTTCTATTAGTTATTTTCTATTATAGAATAATTTTTTAGTTAACCTTGAAAAATAACATTAATCTAAATCATCTAGTTTTTTAATCGCACACCATATATATATATATAGGCACAGGCCTCCAACCAAACAACCCTTTTCAGACTTGCCTGGTAACTTCCCCAGGCGTCCAACCAAACATGCTCTAAATTAGCACTTGATATGTCCCATCAATGATTGGCTAGCTGTTAAATTTTGTAGTTGATTCATCGGCCAGAAGCATATTTTGATAATACTAGTTTCTATAGTTTGCCTTCTTTTTTAACATAATAATATGGTTTTGGTCTGTAGCGCTACAGTTTGATTATTCCTTCAGGTTTTATTGATACTGGTGCTAGTAGAGTTCCTTAATCTTTTTTTTTGTAGTATTGCCGGCAAAACATTTGTATACAGTATAACTCAAAATATTTTTTAATGCGCTGTTTTATCTTCTACGTTGCAGCTTCCAGAGAGTTCTTTACTGAAGCTAGATGATATCTGCAGGAAAGCAGACATCGTTTTGGTTGCTGCACGTTCATATGGTCTAACCGGTTTGGTCAGGGTTAGCGTCAAGGTACTTTGATATGTTTATGTCCAAAAACTAATCTCTTCAGTGTGAACACATAATTAATTATCATGACATCGCAGTTGCAGATAGCAATACATTCATAGTTGCATACGAGTACAAGGCCATGCTATCTGGGTCATGTTGTATGTGGGGTTTTCCCTTTTTGGGAGTTACCGCCTTTGGGGGAAGTCGTAACAAAAGCATTTTGGAAAGATTCACATTCACATATTTATTTATTGTTGTCCAGGAGCACTGTGTCATAGAATCAAAACCAGACCACTTCTTGGATGATTTGCGACTTCACAATCCATGGACTGAACTAAAGCAGTAAGAACATATTCATACCTTCATTTTGCACATAACAGTGTGTAATAATTTTGTCATTAACACAAGTTCACTGTTATTGTTGACACATGTTTTGCAGATTTGCAAAATCAATTGACATAAATGATAAAGATCCCGTTGTCCACAAACATACTCCATACATTGTTATTCTTGTGAGACTTGCAGAAAAATGGGCAGATGCACATGATGGTAACATGCCTGCAACTAGGCAAGAGAAAAAGGAATTTAAGGTACACTCTTTTAGTACTGTTGAGTGAGTCATCAAGTAAACGAACTGTTAATGTGGTTTTAGGACTGTCAAGGCACTAACTAAATTGTTACTTTTACCAGGACCTAATTCGAGCCCATATGCTTAATGTAGATGAGGAAAATTACAAAGAAGCTGTGGACTCTTCATATAAAGTCTCAGTCACTCCAGGAATCAGTAAGTTGACCAAAAGGGCTTTATCCTAAATTTATGATTTGGCATGTTCACATATTGTCTGCATTTGAGTCAGTAGTTGTTTCACATGGCCTTTTTCTGAATCTTACTATCTTAATACGGAAAATGTTGTCGAGCCTAGCACTTTCAATAGATAGCTTATCCACCTCTATTTTCTATCAAATGCTCAGCTGGACATTTTAGATCTACAATTTTACATAGATCAGATTTCAAGCATTCCATCCAGACTTCATTATTGTTGGATGTTTGATGTCATATGTGAGTGGTCTTATTGCCTGATGGAAGGTATCACATTTTGTTTGATTGCTGCAATGAACATCAGTTGCAATATCTCTACCAGTTCGTACCTTGATGTGTGTATACCCTTTCCGAATTTTCTAGGTACTTGATCACGAATTACAATGCTGATCCGGGGCTGTGCACTTGTATAATGTTCTAACACTAACATGTAACATGCCACTCATTTTTGCTGCAAACATATAACAAGATATTCACAATTACATATCTCTTTTGTGAACTGTATAATGTATAATGATGATCCCATTTGAGATTTGGTGCTTTCTTATCTGTTTAGATTTAGGTGTAGATGTTGGGATTGGGAGGGTGTGGATCCATTACTATAGAACAAGTTGATGCTTGCACAATAGTAGATAGCTTAAAGAAAATAGTGGCTATGGGTTATCTGCAATGACTTCATTTTAATTAAAATTTGTTGAAGCTATTTCTGATTACATTATTTGGACAATAGTAGCATACAGTTTTTTTTAATCATGCTCTGGATTTAACCTAATTGGCCTTGCCAATCCTGTTGTATGGTATTATGTTCTTATTGGTTATGATGCATAAGTTCAAGCATAGAGTGACTCGTACAAAATAGTGCATACAACATAAAACATGCAGGTTCTGACTCATGATTAATTTCTTCCAGGTAATGAAATCCATCAGATAATTGATGATGACTCTGCGGAAGTCAATTCATCATCGTCAGATTTCTGGATTTTAGTGGCTGCTTTAAAGGTACCTATCATCTTGTGAGTCAAATGTATTTACTACTTAATGTCGACTTGTGTTATATGCTATGATGGGGGCCATTCAGTAAAAGCTAGCATACCATGGTTAAAAGTTTCTTGACCTCCTTTGCTGTTGTTAAAAGCAGATCAGGAAGTTTCTTTTCTTGGTATCTTAATTGCATCTTACTGCTATAGTTCATGCCAAAATCTCAGGCCATAAATGTTGTTAAGCTGTCTAAAATCTGTGCAATGCAGCCGCTTGGACGAAAGCTGCATTTATGCTAATATATCAGGCTGCTAATATAACCGAGATGCCTTATACAGTATGCAGTTGGACTTCATTGGCCCAGTTCTAGATGTGCTTTGGGCTCAAACTAAAATTTTGATTTAGTCAGATTGAAATGTCAAATTCATTCTTCTAGAGCTAGAACCCTGTTATAAACATGAATCCAGTGTCAGGCACTTCTGATTTTGAAGGCTTCTAAGCTGAACCTATTAGTTTCATTTGTTGAAGAAGTCCAGCTTAGAAAAATAGAAACCCTGGAAATGTTTATACATGGAAGCTGCTTGCATATTGTACATAGACAGTCCACATATAAGCATTTTTTTTACCATGGTGTCTATGTCTCAAAAGTATGCGTTGCTTTCTCCTGTCTATTGATAGGAGTTTATTGCAAAGGAGGGCAATGGTGAGCTACCTCTGGAGGGAACAATTCCTGATATGACTTCTCTTACTGAGTAAGTGTCCTACACTCCTACAGTTGACATCTCTAGTTTTAAATTCTGCTACCATTTCGTGTGAACTGTGTAATGTTTCTCTTGTGTCATCTTACAGGTATTATGTAAGCCTACAAAAGATTTACCAAGCTAAGGCAGAATTTGACTGTCTTGCCCTGGAGCATCATGTAAAGGAAATCTTGAAACGGATTGGTAGAGATCCGGATTCTATTTCAAGAGCATATATCAAAACATTTTGTAAAAATTCTAGGAAACTAAGGGTAAGGTGCTTTCTTTAGATGACATGTTTTGACAACCTGACATCTTATTGCCTGATGCGGTCATTGTAACAATTAATATGTTGTAGTGATGAGTGATGACTTCAATGTCTGGTTATCCATGCCAGAATTATAATAAATTGGATAAAGGCTATTTTATTGGCATGATGAGATCGCTGCTTGCTCTCTCAGAAGAATAGAATAATGATTAGTGCAGGCACAACATTAGTTTTAAATTTAGGGACACACTCTATTTAGTGTTGCACCTATCAGTGGTTTCTGGTTTAATTTCAACTTTGTATATTCATAATCAATTATAAGTGTAAATAAGTACCCCAAAATGCCATTTTTACCAGTTTGTCATCTTTGCTGAATAATTTCCAATGTTTAGATTTGTAGATATCGTAGTTTTGAGGAGGAATTTAGCTCTCCAATTGTCTCTGAGATTCAGAGGTATTTCACTGATGAAGACTACAGGTCAGCATCCATTACTCTGTTTTTGCTTTTCCACCTCTATTTATTTTGGTGTTCGTTTAGTTGATGTAAAAGAAAGTGCTATACAGATTTCTTATTATTAATTCCGTTACCGTTTCTACAATGATTATTATATAGTAACATGCCACCTTAACTACTAGGCAATTCTAGGATGTTGCAGTGTTAGCATTTTTTTTCCAGATTTATATAGAGTTCTGAAAACCTACTTACAATCGGAATGTGAATGCTTTCAATATCAAGCATTTAGCTTGGACGTCATATGTCATCTCATAAATACTTCTGATATTCTGTATGATTTACTTTTTTGTTGGAATAGCTGGCCCTTTGTTTTAGATTTTTTAAATGTCTTCTCCAATGACTATCAAATGTGTCATTGCAGTTACGCAATGAACTTCTACATTCTGCTACGGTCTGTTGATCGCTTGGCTGCCAATTATAGCAGATTGCCTGGAATCTTCGACAGGTACTTAAGAGAAATGTTCATTTGCTATTGGTGAACATTATTATCCCACATGTAGAGAAATACAACAACAACAAAGCCTTTAAGAGAAATGATCTTTTTTTTTTTTTATAATACTGATTATACACTGGATTCGGTAGTGAGATTGATGAGGATATCCCTAGGCTGAAGACAGTTGCGGTTTCAGTGCTAAGTGAGATGGGTTTGAACGGAGCATCCTTATCCGAAGACCTGATAACCGAAATGTGCCGGTTCGGGGGTGCGGAGATCCATCCAGTGGCTGCTTTTGTCGGTGGAGTTGCTTCCCAAGAAGTAATTAAGGTATGTGGGCCCCTTATACAGCATTCCCTGCAATCCTGAATAGATACATAATTCCAGGGTTTCACACAATATTGGAGAAAATGGGAGAAAATGTGATTTGAATTCATAGGATGGTATATACTTGGACACTAGTGGGAATGTGCATGCATTTGGAATGGAAAAAGTTTCTATTACTTATCGGTGTTTGTTTTCCTCTTATCTTTCAGCTGGTCACCAAGCAGTTTGAGCCGTTGCGGGGAACATTCATATTTAATGGAATCGACCTCAAATCTCAAGTTTTGATGCTATAACATGGATGCGGAGCGTTGTCTTAGTGACTGAATTTGAGTTGACCCAGATTTTGTGCCAGGGCACCACGCTGCAATGGAATCTGTTTGCCCAATGTGTAGCGAAATATATATTGTTGCATAATATTTAGATGTGTGACATTGTCGCCAAGTAGCTTTTCCCCCTATTGTTGCACGGAAAATGAGCCGGAGAAACGTGGTTCATTGAGAATGCCCAGTCTGCCGTAATTTATCAATATTTGCGTCGTATGATTTATAGCTCACGCGGCTGTTATCCGTAGACCAAAAGAACAGTCACCATCCAAATCGAACTGGTGCTGTTAGGCTGTGCAGTACGCCTGTATTAGTAGTAGACGAAGTAATATATCGGTGTTGCAAGTGGGCCTGATGTGAGTGGACAAGTATGCGCCAGCAACGATGGATGGGCTGGAAGCCTGGAACTTGGCAAACGACATGCATGTGCGCAAGCTGACGAACGCAACGACTACTGAGCGAGATGAGCTTGTCGGCTGAGCTATCGACGCTTTCATCATTAATGGAGAGCACGTAGGCACCGACATCACTGTGCATATGATCTCAGGTGTCCATAGGCAGACCAAATCTCCCCCGGCCTGCCGGCCAGTAGCATGATGCCAAGGCCCTGTTTGCTTCGTTCAAAAAAAAAAGAGTCGAAATATTGATCTGACTAATTTATTATGAGAAAAAATACTGTTTAGATTAAAAAATAAATTGAAAAGTACAGATTATAAGACACTCGAACGTAATAAAGCTACATAGCAAATGGCCGGAGGTGTTCCTTGGACGACGCGGTTGCCGTCAGACGAAGGCAAATGACGTGTGATAGCGAACTGTGCTTAGTTATAAAAAAATAATACAGCTACACTGCTAGGTGCTAGTACAGGCTAGTAGCGCACATAGCACACTTTTATCTTCCAGGTTGTGTTCACGTTTGCTTAACAAGTAAGGCCTCGCTTCCAGTAAGGTTTATTTTCTGTCATATCGAATGTTTGAATATATATATGAAATATTAAATATAAATTAAAAAAATAACTAATTACACAGTTTTATCTAATTTACGAGATGAATCTTTTAAACCTAATTAGTTCTTGATTTAATAATGTGGTGCTATATTAATACATGTGCTAATGACAGATTAATTAGGCTTAATAAATTCGTCTCGTGGATTACTGATGGATTCTATAATTTATTTTTTTATTAGTATCCGAACACCCCATGTGACATCTCCAGATAATACCCGATGTGACATCCTAAAATTTTACGCCCTAAATTTAAACGAGGCCTAAAAGAACACATCGGTCTTGAGTAGTCATGTTGGTACGTATTCAAGAGTATGTACTGTATTTTTTTATAGCAATGACGCGTTTCCTGTTTTTAGTTTACTTCACACTACTGGCGCCAGTGGTCGTTTGATCGGCAACGTAGCAGGAGCTAGCTGTCGTCGTCGCTCGTCGGCAATCCAGGCTCATGATCTTGCAACAGCCGACGTAGGTCCATTCACAACGTGGCAACGATACTCTGCAGTAGTTCATTCGGATAGAGTAATTCCTCTCCTATAAAAAATATAAGTCCATATCCATTTACATTTGCCAATATTCACATACTTTTCAAACTTTGACAAATTCTAGTATATTATCTATTTAAAAGTTTAGACACCGTCAATCAAAGTTCGAGAACTAGACTTGGAACGATGAATGTATTCACATTCATATTTGTACTGAGAGTACTTTCTCCGTTCCAAGAAGAACGTAATTGTAGGTTTGAGACAAGCTAAACCTTATGAGGTTTGATCAAGTTTATAGAAATTAATATTTTTTTATGTTTTTAGATAAATTCTATTATAAAAAATATTTTGTATTTAATCCTATGATACTTATTTGACATTATAAATTTTAGTATTTTTAATACTTTGATCAAATTTCTTTAACCTCTCGCGAAATTTTAGTAGTGAAAATTTCATTATTTTTGGATGGAGCTTGAAAGGTGATTTGTTGGAGAGGGGGGAAAAAATACGATTTATAACTTAAGAGGAGAAGGAACATCCATCTATCTTGCACATTGTGGCAACCAAATGGTTTAGACGATGTTCATAGTTTTGCACTCCCGGAAACAATCAGGATACACACCGGAAGTAAGTATGTAATAGGGTGTTCGGTTTGAGTAACCAAAACATTCTAGATGAGATTGTGCATCATGAGTTCGCTCATCAAATCTGGTAGAATGACTTTATTTTTCATACGAGTAGTAATTATTAGCTTGTGATAAATGAGATGACGATGGATCCATTCATCCCATTTTACAAACCAAACAAAAAAAGGTAAAAAATGAGGAGATGATGGACAAGTTCATTCATCAAACCAAACGGCCACCGTACTGCCATGTGGGCCCGAAGTAGCGAGGGACTCTTTACTGTTTGACCATGTCCAGGACACGGCGTATTGCCAAGCATATATACGGAGGATAGTAGGCAAAGCGCGCGACGCGAGCGTTTCCCTTAACCGTGTCGATAGACAGAGACAGATCTTCTGCCTCATTGTCTTTGTCTCCGTCTCCGTCTCCGTCTCCGTCCACACGCAGGTTACCTAGACGAGCAACTTGTCCGGCAGCTAAGTAACGCGCGTGCTCGTCTCATTTGCTCGGCCACATGCACACACAGGCCAAGCCAAGCAAAACAGTATCAGGTCGACCCACCGTGACGTCAATCATTGCATCATCTATCGCCTCTCCAGACTCCATGGTGTGCGCCGGCGGCCGCACTGGGTCTCCGGCCTTTGTTGAATACTCCGTATATACTAGTAGTACTAGCACTAAGATTAATTAATCAATCTGAAAGTGCGGCTGCTTGTTGCAGAAGAAGTACGCCTCCAGTTGGCCTTCGATAGTCAAACAAATTGGGCAGAGCCGTGATGCACTGATGCCGTCACAGCTTACTTAAGTACTACTTGTCAATTTGGCTTCTGTAGCTCTGTTGCGGGATCGATCGGCTGCTCCCTCCAGTTTGTTTGCGATTAGTAGTATATACTACTGCTCAGAGCCTCAGATACTGTCACCTCGACTACCGTATGTACTAAAGTTAGTAAGCAAAGATTGACGGCTACCGTCACTCAAATCTCACAAATATGATGAGAGCACAGAGCAGCGACCGAGAGGAGGAGAAGGTTCCAGACCCTCCCTGCAGCCGCTGCAGACCGTGTGTGCAGTCAGCAAGTCCATCCCCACACGCCGCCCATCCCGCTCGGCCCCACCACCCTCGTCCCGAATAGTAATTTTAAGAGTATGTCAACTGCACAACCATGTGTTTTATGTAGTTTTAACATATTATTTTTCTACACCATAGAATTAAGATCCAACCGCCTCCAGGTTTCTTCTACCTCCAGAAAATCACAAATCACAATATCACAGATCCACAGATAAAAAAATAATTTTTTTTCTATACAGGGACAAAATGACAAATCGGACGTCCGATCCTCCGGCCGCACACGTATACGCGTATAGGACGAGCGGTCCTTCTGCTGGCAATTCATATAGATCACCTTTCCTCCCCCACGCTCACGCACACACATGCACGCATGCAGCAGCCAGCAGCAAGCAGCAAGCAGCAAACAAACGTGCAGACAATGGTAGACGGTGCTAAAGACCGAGAAGACAGTTGAAAAGAGAGAGAATAAATTCATATACTTCCCTTTGTTTGGGTTTACTTGTCAGCAACTTTTTTACTGTAGCAAATTTGATCATATGTTTTTTCTTTAAAAAAATCTTAGATACTTCAATGTATATAACACTAATGAATTATGTTCAATAAAGAATCATATATGTGAAAACTTGATGTATCTAAAAATCTTTTGCAAAAAAAACGTATGGTCAAAATTGCTACAGTAAAAATCCGGTGACAAGTAAACGAAAATAAAGATAATACTTTTTTTCGCTAAAATACATATGTGCCATATAGCATTCATGTAATTTTAATCACATCCACTCCCATCCCCTCTCCGCCGAACCCGTGGGCGGCGGCGTTGCCCCCGCGGCTAAGCAAGAGCAGCAGCCGCAGTCTCGCGGAGGCCACCGGCCGCCACGCGCAGGCCGGGCAGCCCGCCCACCTGCAGCACCTGCCTGCCGTGCCAGGCTGTGCGTCACTGCCTGCGCCCCGCGGTCCGCACCACCACATCCACACGCCTGGTGCGTGCAGCCGGCCAGGGCCAGCCGAGCGCCGTCCCCCGCGCGATGGACGCCCATCCGTCCACGTCGCGACGCGGCGCCGCGCGTTCCGGTGCCTTGCCCGGATTGGTCCGCCCACGCCACCTCCCGCCATGTCGGTCGGCCCCCACCAACTTGGCGCACACGTAAGCCCAGCACCGCCTCTATCTGCGCAGTCTTGGACGGGGACACAACCTATAAAAGGGCGCGCACCCTCACCCACAGGCCACACCTCCTCTCCCAAGCACAAAAACACCACATCTTTTCCTTCCGAGCCCGAGCCGTAACTGCAGAGAGAGATCACCACCGACCCAACCGAGACCGCCGCGAGGAGGACACCGCCCAGATCATGAAGCGCCCTAGGACGGAGCAGGAGCCGGCGGGCGAGGTGTCGCTGGCGCTGTCGCTGAGCACTACGGAATCGTCCACGACGTCGGACTCCACGGGGACCCCGTCGTCGTCGGCGAAGCGGGCGCGGCGGAGGGGCGCCGTGGTGGCCACGTCGGGGGAGGGGGAGTTCGTCTGCAAGACCTGCAGCCGCGCCTTCACCTCGTTCCAGGCGCTTGGCGGCCACCGGACCAGCCACCTGCGGGGCCGCCACGGCCTCGAGCTCGGCGTCGGCGCCAGGGCGCTCAAGCAGCACAAGCAGGCCGCCGCCGCGGCCAACGGCGGCAGCGGAGGAGACAAGCCGCCGCAACAGCAGCAGCACGAGTGCCACATCTGCGGGCTCGGCTTCGAGATGGGGCAGGCGCTGGGCGGCCACATGAGGAGGCACCGCGAGGAGATGGGCGCCGCCGACGCCGCCAACGCCTGGGTCTGGCGCACCGAGGCCCCGCGCGCCGCCGCCATCGATCCGCCCGTCTTGCTCGAGCTCTTCACTTAGATTGATCCGGCGGCCTGATTTCTCCAGCGTCATTTACTAGAATCCAGGACATGTAAAAATCATATTAGTTGCTAGCTGCAGCTGGTTGCTTTTGCAATTACGCTAGCTAGCTAGTAGTTTTTGTGTTGGATTAGCAGTTCGATTTTCGTTCGGATGTCAGAAAACTGATTCATACAAACATGGTAGTATAACAGATCGATGATTCTTTGGTTCAGATGTTGTGTCCCGTTACTGCATTCGTCAGAAATCGCGCACGAATCATTCATCAGTTTTGGTTCAGATGTGTGTGTCCCGTTACTGCATTCGTCAGAAATCGCGCACGAATAACTCATCAATTTGAGCCGCACCATGCATCTTCTGGATGTCCCACTGGTTAATTTCATCGTCCTCATGTTTATTATGAGGAAGATAATAGATACAATGGTCTCGTTCATTTAATCCGTCCTGGTTTCCCAAACGTTCGCGGTGTGCCTTGTTATAATTTCGGAACGTAACTTTACCCATCATCAAATCGATCGATTGTTCTTCCGGTTATTAGACCGTACATGCCCGATCCGTCTTAAACTTTTAGCATCAGGTTTTTGTAGGTTTTGGGACGAATAACCGAGACCAAAACAATAAAAAAGGAAAGAAAGAAGGTGAACGAAGCAGGGCATGACTTTGTGATTGTGCAACTACTTGTAGGTTGCATTGCATCTCAGTAGGAATTTGAGGCTTTTCTCCGCGCCTGGGAAAGCCAAACGTGGGCACCTCTTGTCCCCGGGCCCAAGCAGGAGCACCATGAATCTTGCCCAGGGCCCGGCTAGATTCATGCATGATGGCCGTCTGATGGATGAGGATGACGCTAATAACAGCTGGTGCTGGCTATGACTCCTCCGTACTCCTATCTCCTAATCATGCTTGACCGTAGGTGTGCCACCCTAGGTTGGAACCTAGACTAGATACGTACGTACTAGATACGTCCAATAAAGAAAAATACAATTTCAGTTTTCTATCAAATAATCTATCTTAACTTTGAAGAAATATATAGAAAGATAATATTAACTATGATACAAAATAATCATGATTAGATTTATTATGGATTTTATTTTTATAGCATATCTATTTGAAGCCATAAATGTCATTAATATTTTCTACAAACTTACTCTCCCAAAGTAGTCAAATAATATCAAGTTTGACTAAATTTATCGAAAATAGTATCAATATTGATATCTCCAAACATATTTATCATAAAATAAATTATATAATTAATATCTATTTGGAGCCGTAAATGTCATTAGTATTTTCTATAAATTTATTCTCCCCAAGTAGTCAAATAATATCAAGTTTGACTAAATTTATCGAAAATAGTATCAATATTTATATATTCAACATATTTATCATAAAATAAATTCTATAATAAATATCTATTTGGAGCCATAAATGTCATTAATATTTTCTATAAATTTACACACGTGCGCGGTGCGTGTGGTGACTGGTGAGCAGCTTCACGGGAAACTTTTCCCTCAAGCATGATGGTGCGGTTAGCTAACACTAGCAGCCTATCCCTGTTACGTTCGTTCTTCGCGGCCTTTGACCAGCCAGGCAGTCACCCAGGCAACGGCGCGCGGCGTCAAACGAGACCGAGCGAGCTGGTGCGCTCTGCCCTGCCCTGCCCGCGGCGGCCCCAGGCTAACGACGACCAGTCCGTGTCCCCGACGCTTTTTGGCTAACGCCGTCAGGTTCCGTTTCGCGGACCCTTCCGAGCTCCCCGTCCCGCGTTGCGGCGTGAGGCCAGCACACACGCCACGCCACGCCATAGGCCGACCGCGTTAAGACCGTTCTGCCGTTCAGACCGTTCCAGACGCAGACGGCGCGACGCCGGCGCAGGCAGACGAGTCGCCCAGGCACGGACGCGCTCCTTCCAGCCTTTCGTTCTCTCGTCTGCCCCGACGTAGAGTGCACGTGAGCAGACAGAGCGTCTTCCTCCGCGCTCCGCTTATATAAAAGGCCAGCATGCACTCGCCGGAGCCAACACCAACACATCCACATCCCACAACGACCAGCTGCGGCCTGCTCTGCTCCTCCGAGCTCGCATACATCCCGCGTCGGTCCTCCGTTCACCTCTCTCTCCCAACATCTTGAGCTCGATCGCAAGCCCTTAGTTCCATCCCCAGCCGCCCGTTTGGTGTACATGGCGAAGCACCCGAGAGACTCCGCCGCCGGCGCCGTGCCGCTCTCCCTCGCGCTGTCCCTCGGCGGCGGCGGCGGCGTGGCCCCCGAGCACAGCAGCAGCAAGAGGCACCGGCGCGCTGCGGCGGGCGGCGGGGACGGCGGCGGCGAGTTCGTCTGCAAGACGTGCAGCCGCGCCTTCGGGTCGTTCCAGGCGCTGGGCGGGCACAGGACCAGCCACCTGCGGGGCCGCCACGGCCTCGAGCTCGGGATGCCCGCGCCGGCGCCGGCGAAGGACGACGCCAAGGAGACCACGACGAAGCAGGCGGCGCCCGCGAGCCACCTGTGCCACGTCTGCGGGCTCGGCTTCGAGATGGGCCAAGCGCTCGGTGGCCACATGCGTCGCCACCGCGAGGAGGCCGCCGCCACCGCCGCGCAGGCGCCGCCCGTCCTCCTCCAGCTCTTCGTGTAGAGTTTTATTTGCCCGTACACGGAGAGGCCATGCATCGGTGGCTTTCTAGTTTGCAGTAGAGGAATTCTTTGAGTTTCAGTCGTCCGTCTGCACATTGTAGATTCACAGTACATTTGTTGGCATATTGGCCAATTGATTGATTGATTCATTCATTTAGTTCTATACATGTAAATAACTGATTATTATTCTTCTTATTAACTTTTCTGTATCTGGCACTCTGGCTGCCTCGCTGTCTTTGTAAGAAAAACAATTCGCATGCTGCTTCTTATATTCTCAAACCACATTAATCAAGGTCGCTAAACATATTCATCTTATTCTTCAACACTACTTTAGCAAGACGTTTCAGCGAACAAACAGTGTTTTTCTGTCACAACAAATTAGCATCAACATAAGCTAAATTTTAGCGAAACGAACAGGGCCACATGAAAGCCATTCAGAAAAAGCTGTGCAATTTGATAATTGTGGTGTATGCGTATAGATTGGGGGTCAACATTCTAAGATTAATGATCTTGGGATTGGCTGAATGCACCTGCGCGGCGGACCTATAAGGCTACCCCGTTCGCGTGCTCTTAAACCCGGCTTGAAAGCCAAATTCTCCAACATTCCTCCAAACCATCCAAAAACCCCGCGTTTGAAGAGCTGTGTGATACTGTGATTACATTTTCGGCTAGTCTTACGCGGTAAGCAACTGAAACTGATCAGAAACCGAAATATGGAACAGTCACGCAAACAGAAAAGTATTGGAATTGGGTAGTCAAGCCAAGGTCGGCCTAGGAATACGGCCTATCAAATTAGTATGAAGCATTGGTCATTGTTAGGGCAATTCTTATAGTGTATTAATCTCACAGTTTCTAAGAGTGCTACACTAGTTAGCTTTACATATTTGGATTCATAAATAAAACACAGGTAGTCTCGCTCTCTCAGTACATAGTTTCATCTCACAATTTTATAGGCTAGTTACAGTATACATTATTCACGTCCTCGATCGATCAACCGAGCTAGCTCAGTTTTCTTCACACAGCATGAAGGAACAGCATTCATGCTCTTGAAGTAACTTTGACACACTGAAATACACAGATCCGTGTCAATTTAGCAACTACACACGCATACCTTCACCGGCCAAAATTAAGCGAACTGAAACTAAGTTTCCAGTAACCAGCAGCAATTTCAGGAAGCAATGCTTGAAGGTAGTAATACTAGTAAAGCACAACAGTTTACTGCAATATTCCAAAAATGATTCAGCACTTACTGATGCAGCTCTCTGTGAAACCCCAGTCCAACGTGTAGAGTGGGTCTTAGCCGTCATCTCGGGTCGGGGCGTTACACTCTCGCTCCAAGTGACACCATCGTTCACTGATCACTAGCTTCATTTTGAAAAGGTTCAAGCTTCCTCGAAAAGTTGCAGTATCTCTAAACAGGTAGAAGGCAAGTTTCATCAAACAGCGGTGAGAATATCCTGCACACTTGAAGGTTGAAGGACCAAAAAATAGATTCTTGTAACGCGGAGAAATATAAACTCCGACAAATATAAATATGCAGAAATCGGAAGAACAAATGTTAATTGTAAAAGAAATGTTGTTGGGTATGATTAGCACCGCGTAGATGAAGCGTCTCAAATAAAAGAAAGAGTAATGTTCAATTCAGCACTCATGGCACTTAACATGTAAGCAGTTCCATCTCTAGAAAAGGAACGGCAATCCGGGCCCCGGCCTCGAATGTAGATGCAGCCCTGTCCAAGAGACGGCGAGACAAAACGGCCCAAGCAATGCTCGCAGCTGTCGACGCAACCGCGTAACCTACTCCGACACACACACATGCTCTGCCCAATTAATAGCAATCGCTTAATCAGGATGGGTAGGCACGCTCTGGCCGGTGTTTATTTAGCTGTAATTACCGAACCAATCACGGTTCAGACAGAGGCCGCGGCGACAAGACACGCGCGCGCCCTGTGCCGACCGCCGAGTGCAACCTACAGGCGTCTAGAACAGATTAGGCTCCGCCCTCCGCGGTGCTCACACGTGTACAATACACCTCTTCTTCCTCTCTGATTACTTCTTCGACAGTGACATGTTTGAAACTTTGACACGGCCATTGATCCGGCAAGCTCGCGAGCTATTAAAACAGTCGGATTACTTGCGCACGGGCACGGCCATTGACACTGCAACACTACTACGGCTACTTGCATAGCTACAAGTTTGTATGCTGTGATCGCCTTTGAATTGACCTGAATCTTTCAGTTCTCCACGCCGGTCGGCCGGCTACGATCAGACACGTCAATGGTAAGTACCCTCTGGCCGCTCGATTCCCAGCCTGGACTCTGCAGGAGCACGTTTTCATTTGAGCGACTGGATGGCTGCATTGCATTGCAGGCGAACGCGGCGTCCGGCGTGGCGGTGGCGGAGGAGTGCGTGTCCCGGTTCCAGGAGCTGCACGCCGGCCGCGCGCACCGCTTCGTGGTGTTCAAGGTCGACGACGCGCTGCAGCGTGTGGTGGTGGACAAGGTGGGCGCCCGCGCCGCCGGCTTCGGCGACCTCACCTCCAACCTCCCCGCCGATGACTGCCGCTACGCCGTCTACGACTACGACTTCACCGTCGAGGACGCCACCGAGGCGGCGGGCGTGAGGAGCAAGATGGTGTACGCCAGCTCCTGCGAGGGGTTCCGGAAGGAGCTGGACGGCGTGCAGGTGGACCTCCAGGCCACCTAGCCCAGCGAGCTGACGCTCGACGTCCTCAACGATCACGCCTCCTGATGAACGAGGATGACTGGATGAGTGCTTGCATTGTCGTCGTCCATCCATTACGTCACTGTCGCGTACGTACACGTATGCGTGCGTACGGACTGCAAGGTGTACCGTAATTAATGGTGATATACCGAGTCGTTCTTGTCGCGCTTGGATTGTTTCCTTCCTTCCTGTAACGTTGCTGCTACGTGTACTACTACTACACGAATAAAACTGATGAATAATTGGTCGCTCTTTTCACTGAAATCGGAGAGGATCATCACATTACGACGGTTTCGTTTCTCTGTGCGTGCACGTGGTGTCCAGGCTACTGAACAGCGATGTTTTGCAAACATTGTGTCCTGCTTCAACTGCTAATGCTCTGCTCACAGATCAGCGTGCATGATTACTTGGCCTTTTGGCTTCATCTTATCAGCCGATTTATCCGTTAAAATCTACGATATTTTTTTTTATGGTAAATCAGTTTCAACCGACTTATCAACCGGTTTTAATTCCAGCGACCCACTGCTGAGTAGTATGCTTCAAGGACGGCCTGACAGACATCTCACAAGACGCGACGACACGCTAGCAAAGCAGCCAAAGAAAAGTAAATAATAATAATTTAATAAAAGAAAAAGGGATAAGGCCGGTGCCACGGCCCACGGCCCGCGGTCGGTGTCAATCGCTGCCGCCGCTGCTTTTCTGTGGTTTTGATTCCCCTGGTATTTTCCGCGTCCATTCTTTCTCCCCGAATCCTTTATTTTCTTATCTATTTATTATTTTCCCAGGATGCTCATTCTGAAATCTCTTTCGCGAAAAACGAACGAAAGATTTTATGAGAAAAAGGTCACGGGAATAAAAAAGAAAAAAAAGAGAATAAATGCACAGGGCAATTGAACTGTGCTGTGCTGTGCACAAGTGCTGTGATCAAGAAGCGCATACGTGTCTCGCTACGTCGCGGGACCGTAGAATACGTTTCCGGCGGCCCACCTCCCCACGGGCGACATCGCGCTGCGCCGACGTGTCACCAATCGCGGCCGTCCATCTCGCCATCCGACGACCGCGGAAGCTCGCAGCGGCCGCTCCGTTCCGTCGCGGGGCAGCCACCCACCCCACCCCCCGCACCGCACCGCACGGGGGCTACGCGGTGGAAAACCCGGCGACCACATCAAAACACGGGGCGTCCCCGCAGGACTGGTCAGTCGGCACGCAGGCAGAACAGCAGCAGCCAGCCCCACTCCTCTCTCGCTGCCCTTCCCTTTCCCATCTTCGCTTCGCTTCCTCGGCGGATTCCTCCTCCTCGCCCCCTTCCGGCGCGCGAGCTTGCCCGAGATGGTAAGGCCCCTGCTCCCCTCCGTTTCCCCCTCCCCCCGCGCGCTCTGGTTGCCTCCCAGATCGGCGCGGGGGCGTGCTGGTTCCGCGCCTGATTTCGGGCTTTTTGTTCTCGCGGGGCGGTAGCGTAGTGCTTCGGATCTAGTTGGATTCAGTGGGGATCGCAGCTGCTCGGCTTGCTCGTGGGCTGATTCGTGGTTTCCTCGGGAGGGAATTCTGATCGGATCGTGGGGTGTTCATGGTTCCGTGTGTGGTGGGGACTGGGGGAGACGCTTGGAGCCAGAAACTTGGCGCGCGTGACCGGGATTCTGCGATCTGTGATTTCGATGTCGGGTGCTTTCGTCTAGTACTAGCTGCTGACCGGAGAGCGGTGCGCGGCCGCTTGGATCCGTGGTTGTTTGCACCGTGGCGTGTGAAATCGAACTGTTTAGATCTAAGTTTTGCGAGATGTGGTGGCGGTGGAATCTCGATTGATCTGTGTGTCTCAGCGCCCGTGTAGCTTGTGTGACCGCAATACATCTGCTAATTTGGGTCTCGACGTCTTAGGGTTGCACCAGCTGCTCAGTAATCCTGTTGGTTCTCGTGTGGATCTGTGACTGTAGGTTCCAGACGTGCAGTAGCACACTGGCACTGCCATTGACCAGGAGCTGCTCAGCTTTGCTGGAATCTCTATTGGTAGTATACGCTGCTAATGCTCACTAGGCGTCTCCAGAGAAATGCCTTCCGTGTTTATAGGGACTTAGTGCGCTCATGTTAGAGTCAAGACTATGAGCTGAAATATCTAACATTAGCAGTTTCTGTACTGCTTCAATGCAGCCTCATTTAGAATGTTGGGGACAGTTGGCTCTGCCATGCAAAATAAAATGTGTGAAAGCAACTGTCTCATAAATTACGAATACCGTAGTACTTTGAAGGGAAGTTTCAATGTTGTATTACCATTTAGCCATGATTTAACTTGTGATCGTAGGCAAATGCAAGATCGGGTGTCGCTGTGAATGACGAGTGCATGCTGAAGTTCGGCGAGCTGCAGTCGAAGAGGCTGCACCGCTTCATAACTTACAAGATGGACGACAAGTTCAAGGAGATAGTTGTGGACCAGGTTGGGGATCGCACTACCAGCTACGAGGACTTCACAAACAGCCTCCCTGAGAATGACTGCCGATACGCAATCTATGATTTCGACTTTGTGACTGCAGAGGATGTCCAGAAGAGCAGGATCTTCTATATCCTATGGTATTGCTTGTGCCCTCGTGTTTGCATCCCTTGTTGCTGTTTGCTGTGAAGCTGCTCACTCATGAGATGTTTTGCTTCTGAATTCCAAGGTCCCCAGACTCTGCAAAGGTGAAGAGCAAGATGCTTTACGCAAGCTCGAACCAGAAGTTCAAGAGTGGGCTCAATGGCATTCAGGTGGAGCTCCAGGCTACAGATGCAAGTGAAATCAGCATTGATCAGATCAAGGATCGGGCACGCTAGGCGCACCGCACCGCCATCACGTGTTTCATGATCATGCATCATGGACTCGCCTACTACTGTGGATTTGTACGCCATTATAGACTTGGTGCTGTGAAAGACTGCTTGATGATTTGCAGGTTTGTTGCTGTGTAAAAAAGGTCCTCATGGCTTCCAGAAGACCATGAAGGTTTGGATCTATCATGTAATTCCTTGTTATCTGCCAATTATGTATGGACTATGGACATGTGTTGCGCTGTTCAACTTACTACAAATAAGTAATCGATATGTTCCCTATTCATGATTCGGTGACAATTGTCTTGGAGGCTTAATCTGTTTCAGAAAAATTTCAAGTGTTCCTTTTGCCGCAGTGAAGTAGTGTGATGCAAACCCCTAGATTCTTTTGGGCTCGTTCGTTTAGAGTCGTTACTGGCCGGAACCATTCCCGCTGAAGTCTGCTACGTGCAATTTAAACAAACGTTCCTGGCCGGAACGGTTCCGGCACCTCGATCCCCGGGAACCGAACAGGCCCTTAGCAACATTTCCAGCGTTGAGGACGCTGAGTTCTGTGACGAACTTGAAAAGAGGGGAATAAAACCATGATTCGGTGACAATTGTCTGGAGAAGATCATGCTGAGTTTCAGCAATTGTTGAAATGTTTGTGTGACCACGAGCTCGAAGCTTAAGCTTCTGTGGCCAGTGTAGTGTTGTGTCTGTGTGATGCAAATCCCTCGATTGTTTAGCAAAATTTCCAGAGTTGCATGATGCAAAGTTATGTACTTCTGTGACACGAGTTGGGAAAAAAAAGATTGTTGAGTAAAATTTCCAGACTTTTTTTTTGGAGGGAAAAAAATCTGGAAATTCTGCTCAACAATCTGGAACAGACTTGCATGATGCAAGTTCTGTACTTGTGTGACACGAGATGGGAAAAAAAAAAAGTGGCGTCGCCCGGACTCGAACCGGAGACCTTCAGTGTGTTAGACTGACGTGATAACCAACTACACCACGACACCATTATGGTATCATTAAGGTTAATCATATTGAGGATTTGATGTTTTCGCACAATGAGGGTTGGTGCCCTCTACTGATGTTTTCGCTCGTAGCTTCTGCGTGGTTTTTCACTTCATGGTATGGCTGTCTCATCATCAAATTATGTTCTTACATGCGTATGAATGGCGGAAGTGGAAGTGACCAATCCCCGCTCGATTGCTCATTTGCCATCTCAACCGTGTGCTTGTGCAGCCATTTCCCGGCTCAAGGGCACCACGGTCTCGTTTGACCTCATCTGCTACCCAACTCCTTGTACAAGTCACATGCCCAACCAATGCATCTTTGAGCATCTCTCAGATATTCAGATGGTAGAGCATGTACCAAGTGTCAAACTGTCAAGCATCTCTTTGTCCAGATCAAACCACCGATGTCACCATACAAATTTCACAGCTCTACATGACGTTACAGTACAGTATGTGTGAAACAGAGTATGATAAACAGGTGCTCAAAAGGCAACAGAGAATGAGCACAAAAGTTAAACATGACCTGGCAATTTTTACATGATCCGTTACAGCACTGTTTGAGGCCCCTACAAAAGGGCTATATATCCTGATTAAAAGGGAAAAAGGAGTTTCACCCGCAACACATCCTACAGAATCGTCCCTCAACTACCATGGCAGAAGGAAAACTGTTCCAATATTGTCAGAAACAAATGAAACATCCTCAACTCAACCATCAGAACAAAGCGGAGCCCTCAGCAAAAAGCTCTCAGAACCTGCGGAGCCCGCGATCGAATATCCTGGCCGATGGGCACTCATAAGACATGTGCCCCCTCCCACCGCATGTGTCACAGATGATGGTTGCAATGCAGTTGCGGCTGATGTGCCCTGGCTGACCACAGATGCGGCAAAGGATATCACGGAATGGGCCACCCTGTATCTCTGAAGCCAGAGTCGTCTTTGGACAGACGCGGGCAACATGACCAGAGACATTGCATAGGTTGCAAACCGGGTCGTTCTTGCACTCCCGAGCTATGTGCCCTGACTGACGGCAGTTGTTGCAGGCCCGTTCATTGGTGCAGTCAACAGCGATGTGGCCTGGTTTAAAACATTTGTTGCATAGCTTAGCGTTAGCCCCTGAAGTAGGGCAATCACGTGCCAAGTGACCTGTCTTGTTGCAGGTGTGGCACAGGGCCTCATTCTTGCACTCAGTGGCAATGTGCCCAGACTCTTTGCAGTTCCAGCAAACAGTTTGTGAGGTGCATTCTGCTGCGAAGTGGCTGTAGAAAAAAAAAAGAGTTATGGTCCACTACAAACAAACATCTCAAGAATGAAATATGGCATCTAGCGGGAATTATTAAAATAATACTCTGTACAACAATAAGTCATAAATGCGTGTTCGAGAAAAAAAAAAAGGTCATCTCAAGAATAAATGCATTTGATTCCAACAAAAAATGGAATGAATGCAGCTATATTAAGAGTGTTGCTGGTTTATCTTACCCTGGAAGATTACAGTTATTGCACGTAGGCGCAGATGGGCACTCCTTAGCGAAGTGCCCAGGTCTCCGGCAGTTCTTGCATACAAGATCCCTGCAAAATCATTCATTTTAAAAACGTTTCATTTTCCATGAGCCTGGAATATGATTCACATAAAAAGATATTAAACATTGGCATAACTATGTATGAAGAGCAAAGCAATGTTTCCATTTCCATAAGATAAAGCTTATCTTGGTAAAAGATAAGAACAATGTGCCCCTCTTTCAGTGGTAAACCATGGTGTGTGCCTATAGATACTCCACACCAGCTGTAGGTCTTATGAGGTGCTAGGCTGCTAGCATGAACCCTAGCGGTGCAATTTCTCCCAGGGTTCACATGGAAGAAAAAGAAATACACAACATTGTGCATTCTTTAAAAGAACACGGTGAAGCGAAATGCCTTGTTAGGTGATGAGAATAATTAGAACCCAGTTAGGTGATGAGAAGGTATTTTGGTAAGCCCACAAATATTACACCTATTTTCATGAAGGTGTTTCAACCTAGCACAATCTCCCCTCCCCACTCCTCCTACAGAGGCTCAGATGTTATGAGGTGCCAAACTCATTAACTTGATTAGCAGAAACACAGTTCAAAACATCTCTTCCTAGATACCAGACATCAGTTGACTCTGATGTTAATGAACATGAACATGCCTCTACAGAAGTACAATTCACATGCTAAAATGGTTTTGTAGTGTTTGATGAAATAACCCTATGAACAGTCTATTCTTTTTTTTCTTTACACAAGTAAGCTACTGATCCTATTTACTAAACATTGTCTCATGCTGAGCAATCATTCATGTACTTGACCAATTACAAGAGTGGAAAAAGGAACAGATCATGGAAGCAGACCAAACATTGCTATTTCAAAACAGAACTGACCCCCACATAACTTGTGGAATTAAAAAAAAAATGGAAACAAGAGCAAATTGTGACATAAATCGGCTGTGAAGCAGCCATTGATTCGTTACTTTATTTATGGCAGAACCATCCATCAGGGATAGTGCAGGATTGATTAATCATTTTAATTTAAGCAATGGAGCGAGCTTGGACATGTACATAAGCAAACTATAGTGTAAAAGGGTGCGCTGATATTGGCATTACAGTGAATCACTCATGTAACATATATACAAAAAATAGATCTATTGTCAGCAAGTCACTGAATAAAGACATAACTCAGAAGCATACCTGTAGCCACGCCGTTCTCTGCGACGGTATGGACTGCGGCTCCTGCTGCGACTGCGACTGCGGCGGGGTGCACGTTCACTGCGCAACCTATCTCTTCGCCGAGGACTGCGGCTCCTGCTCCTGCTGCGACTGCGGCTCCTACTTCTGCTCCTGCTGTTGCTTCTTGATGAAGTCATCAAAACGAATCCTAATGTAACGAACTCCAAAAGGAACTTTCAGCAGCCAGGCTCAGAGCATCTGCATAAGAAAATGGCTAAATATCACAACTGCTAAATGGAAATAGAAACCGAAATGTCCGTCCCCTCACCCGATGTTTTTTGCAAAACAATCGAATTTAGTAGTCATAATACATGCAGATACACTTGCAATTAGATCAGATCCGAATACAAATAGTAGGTTAGGGTTTGGGTGCTCGGTTTCGCACAGCAGGAAGGCGAGACAAGGGGTGGGCGTACCTGGTGGTGCTCGTCGCCGGCTAAGCGCCCGAAGAAGACCTCGGCAGCTGGTGTAGGGCGGCGGCGACGGCCGCCCAGTCGTCGCCACGGGGCGCGGGGGGAGGCGGGGGCTGGGGGGGGGCGCACGCTGGGGGTTAATGGAAGAAGAAAAGGCAGGGTTGCAGCATATAGACAGACCGCGGTCAGGGCTTGTTTGGGTGTCCCTAACCTCCGGGGATCCCGGCCAATTCCACGGGACTGATGCAGCCCGGTGATTTGATCCTCCGCCAAACCTCTTCTGCTGTTTTTTTTTTCCATAATTGTGCCTAATACGTTTTTATAATAAAGTTAAGAGAAAAAGGAGAGTTATAATGTATGGACTCATTAAGCCTAGATTTATCAAAACCAACATCATCCATGCAAGCGAATGAGCGGATGGCTCAGTGGTGGGACTTCCTCAGTGGAGGAGCACTCATGGCCTAGGTTCGAGCCTCACTTGACACAGGCTTCGCATCGGAATTTTCCCCATTTTCTTGGCAGCCTCAAGTGTGAATGAGTTCAGATAACAACTTGTACTTGAAGTATTAGTATTGAAGCATAAAAAACACGAATTCTATGAGACTAATCTCACATAGATCAAACAAATTTCTCCATTATTAAGCAATTACATATAAACAATTCATAACCAAACAATTATTGTCGGTACAGAAAGTGATCAACTAGTGAATATACGTTGTGATCGGAGGTGGCCTAGCACTCAATGACACAGGATATATACTGGTTCGGGCAACGTGTCCTACATCCAGTGTGGGTCGGTCGGTGACTATTCCTGAGCCCAAGTGCTCGAAGTCTGGTAGTGGGTTACAAACGAGAAGGAGAAATGTGGGTGTGTGAAAGGCCCGATCGGATCCGACCGGAAGGGTCGAGAGCAACCGGAACTCCACTACGAACTAGGTGTTCAAGTGCATGTTTGAAGGGTTGCGAACTATCGATCTAGTGAGTCTGATCTTGAAGAAGTCGACCTCCTTTGTTTGAGTGAGCGCACCCCATTTTATAGATAAAGACGATGGTTTTATAGATGAGAGGGAGAAAGTACGGATGTTTCTAAGCCTTGTTGCCCACGCCGACGAGGGTAGCGATGATGGTAGGCGACCACAATACTGTTGATGTCACTGTAGAATGTCGGGTGCATATGGGAGGTTACGTTGGCTTCTTCAAGAAAAGTGGATGTCGGTACCTGTAAAATACGATGGTTATGTGAGGAGCCCTTACCACGTGTACCAAGTATGGTGGATCCTGGTGCCCACTATCGATGCCCAGAGGCATGGGGGCTTTTGCCGTATGGGAGCCCTAATGGCGCCTACAAAACTATGGGCACAAATGTCGACGCCTACAATACTGTTTGCGTCAGAGCGGTTGTGGAGCACTGTTCCCGCAGGCGTACAGGGTATGGTCCCGGTATCGTGGTTTGACTTCGCTGCCTTCTCCGTTTGCCCTTGGTCCTTTCCGAGTGGACGTCCCCGGTCGGGTGGCCCCAGTCGGCCCTGGCCGCGCCAGTCGGAGAAGAGCGATAAGAAGAGTTCCTACGGGTCCCCGGTCAGAGTCGCGGGGTCGGAGTAGGAAGCAGCGTTTTGGGCCAGGCCTTCCGATCGGAGAGACCACTCGGAGGCGGCTAGTGCCCGAAGTGAGTGCTCCGGTGGAGACGTGGGCCGAAGAAGTTGACGAGCGGACACTTGTCCTTTTGGCTAGACCTTCCGGTCGGTGACCGGACTGTCCTTCCGGCCCGTCGTGTTTTTAGACTCTTGGGTCGGCCCATGAATTACGTGCTGTTTTCCTGGGCCGAGCCCTGACGTGAAAGCCGGTCCCCGAGGGACCCCGGGTTTATGAACCCGACAGGAGCCCCCGAGCCCCCGGGCGATTCGAGCAAAATCGTCCGGGGGATTTTTGTCTTGCCGGCAGGTGCACGCGAGCGCACCTACGAGTGTAGCCCCTGAGCGGTTCAGGCAGAACCGGCTGGGGGTTTTCTATGTTGTCAGCGGGGGAGGTTTTTCTGTTGTGCCAGCGGGTGCACGTGAGCGCACCCGCGGGTGTAGCCCCCGAGCCCCCGGGTGGTTCGGGCAGAACCGACTGGGGGGTTTTGTTTCAGCGGGCGTGCGTGTTTTTAGTTTGAGACAGAATTTTGTTAAACCACGGCATCGCTGTGCAGCCGAGGGGGTTTTAGGCGTGGGGATGAGACAGAGCTTACTAATCTTTGGCGTCGGTGCGCGCCACGGATGTAGATAGCTCGGTTCGGACGTGTCAGAGCTTACTGATCTTTGGCGTCGATGCGCGCCGTGGATGGAGATAGCTCGGTTCGGACGTGTCAGAGCTCACTGATCTTTGGCGTCAATGCGCGCCGTGGATGGAGATAGCTCGGTTCGAACGTGTCAGAGCTCTCTAATCTTTGGCGTCGATGCGCGCCGTGGGATTGAGCGAGGCGGGACCGTGAACGGACCCAAGCGTCGGTGCGCGCCGTGGATCGAGAGAGTTAGTTTAGTTAGTTCAGGAATCGAACGAGCCAGAGCTCGTGGATCCTAAGTGAAGCCGTTACGTGAGTTTAGGAGTCATGGTCCCAGGAGTCGTAGCCGGATGTCATAGATCCTGTCGATGCGAGTTCAGAGTCGTGGTCCCAAGAGCCGTAGCCGGATGTCATAGATCCTGTCGACGCGAGTTCGGAGTCACGGTCCCAAGGTTTTTGGAGCGCGGTCGAAAGTGAAGCCGTTTTAAAACCGTTATGCGAGTTTGGAGTCGCGGTCCTAGGGCGTTTGTTTTGAGCCCCCGAGCCCTATCGGGCCTTCGTGGGGGGCGATGTGAGTTTGTGTGTGTTACCCCATCTGGTTCCTCACAACCGGAGGGGCTGAGTTTCGTCGCCTGTCTCGATCGCTCGAGCTCGAATCAACTAGCTCGGTGAGTTCGCTAACGAGTGTGATCGAGTGAAATCCGGGTCCGTCGTTCGTGACAGGGTCGGCATAGCCCTCTTGTGACATTCCACTACTCCTTTACCTATAGCCCGGCAGATGCCTAGGTCATTCTGGAGACTGACCCGGGTGGCCTGACGGCCTCCCCTCGATGGAGATTCTGTGGGCCTGGCGAGAGGTTCAGGATCGAACGAGAAGGTTGAGATGACCCGGTTTGCTAGACCGGGCGAAGGCCACACGGTGCTCATCTACGGTTTTCTCCCCTGGCTCTATTGGTTGCTCATGTCGAATGAGGCAATCCGCCGCTTCGTGACGCAACACGGAGCGTTCTGATGCATTTCGTTGCACGCACGATGCTTAGTTCCTGAGCCTTCGAGCGGTTCATGCCTTAACCGTCCAGGGGCTACAGGCGTATGAGATGAATGCGCGTATGGATGTATGAATGATTTATAACGAAATAGAGGGGGTTTGATAGTGTTTACATTGACGACTGGAGTGACAGGGCTTGGAGAGCTTCAGTCAGAAATGTCCGACCGGGACCCGTGCTCGTCGTTCGAGACAGAGTCAGCATGGCCTACATGAGGCGTCCCTTTGCTCCTTACCTGTTGCTTGGGGTTCATCCTGGGCGATTTGATCGACTCAGGGTGGTCCGATGGTCTCTTATGGCGGAGATTTCGTTTTTGGTCTCCCAGGTCCGTCCTAGGGAAGTGGGGAGCCATCTGCGTGCGGTGGCGCTTCGGTTCCTGTGCCCGTCGTGTGGTAGTGGTTGGTCGTGCGATAATGGTGGGCCATGGCCAGGCCATGTCCCGCCTGATCAGGAGCCGTTCCATCGAGCAGGGCGCGTCTCGTCTGTTTAGGGCACATCTCATCTGCATTAAATGGAAAAAAGAGAAAATCCTCGCTCCGCCGTTCTGCCTTCCCCGATCGGCGCGTCCTTCCTCAACCGTTGTTCCCTTTCCCTTAAGTAGGGGTAGAGAGAGGGTTTTTGTTTCGTTCTTTTACCTATTCTTCATCTACCGCCGCCTTCTCTCTTCCTTTTTTGCTGTGAGCGTTCCTGAGAGTCGTGGAGGTTTCTAGGAAAGAAGGGGGAGAGAGTGAGGGAGAAGAGAGAAACTCACCGATCCTTCGCGATTCGGAGCGAAATGTCTGACTAGCGGTCGTCCACCGTGAAGAAGTTAGTGCTGGAGGCTTTCATCATGAAGGGGTTTCTGCCGCCGCAGGAGGTGGCACACTAGAGGGTCCCTGGGAAGGAGGAGTTACCGCAACCTCGTCCCGACGAGGTGCATTCTTTCCTCACTTTCCATGAGCACAGACTAGGGTATCCCGCGCAATGGTTCCTACGCGGACTCCTTAATGAGTGGCGTCTAGAGCTGCAGCACCTCAACCCGATGGGGGTGCTGCACATTGCTGGTTTTGTCATCGTCTGCGAGGCTTTCCTCGAGATGGAGCCGCACGTGGATCTCTTCCAGCTTTTCTTCTCCGGGAGAGCTATGGCGGACTGGAGTTCGGCCGAGATCACACCGGTCGAAGGCTTCGCCCTGTAGAGGAAGCCGCGTGCGGGAGGCTCGTATCCTGCATACACCCCATGTGACTCCAACCGGGGATGGCATGGAGAGTGGTTCTATATCCAAAATCTGGTGGGGGCGCCGTTTCCAGCGTTTACGGTGAGGCCGGTGAAGCAGAAGAGTTGGTCGTAGGGTTGTGCCCACATGGAGAAGCGCAATGTGGGGTCATTGAGGAGGAGCCGCGGAAGCTTGTAAGGGGTGGCCTCGACGGGGTGCGGGT